TTTTTGTTGTATTATCAAGATAATATGTAGATATTTATTATGTGTTTGTTCCATACATTTGAATTAAAATTATTGGTTAAATTCAAAAAAATTTAAATTTTTGTAAGAGAAAATATTGTAACCAAAAAGTTTAAAAAGAACACATGCTTAGTTTCTTTTCAAACCATGCGAAAATATATAGCTAGTTTCGCTATTTAATTACCTATGTGGAAATATATATATATATATATATATAATTACATGACATAACAGCATATGACTATAAAGATAAGTTAATTACCATTATTACAAAGTAATTAATGAAATTGGGATTTATATGTATATACATACACGTAAGTATATGTCTGTATGTGTGTATGTATATTAGTATGTATCGTGTGCATATATAGTGTAGATATATACACGCGTGCATTATCGTCCCAGAAAAAAGGAAGAGAAAAGCGGGGTGGGGAAAAAACAAGAAGAAAGCATTGACAGGTATGCTTGTTTCACGCGTTTGAATTTATAATTCTGATTCAGTTATAATACTTTTCTCGTAAGAAAAATAGTTCTCGTCAATGAGTTCTCTCACAAAATTTAAATTCAGAATCAGAATTACTGACTTAAATGCATGAACTAAACGGGCTAAATACAAAATGAAAAACTTCTTGGTGGAAACAAATGATATAAATAAGTAGACGACGCATAAAACATTATTCAAAAATAAATATTATCCTAAATTCTTATTACAATATTAATAAAAAGTCCCTTCCACGCGGACGCTTAGTTGTTTAAGTTTAATTTAAATTAGTAGGAGCCGCAAAATATTAACAAAAATACAAAGTGGCTGGTTCTTTTTTATGGGGCTGTTTAAATTCTTCTTCATTTTTTTATTTCTTGCATCAATAATGAAAATATGCTGAAATATAATAATTAAAATAGTTCAAATACATAGAGGATTCTAAAGACCTGATTAGTGCGAGCCAGTACGATCATGAACCTCCTTTGTCTTTGTCCCTTTTCCCCACTTTATATTTATTTAATTTTAGGTTGGCTAGCCATATATACGTGCTTTAGCAAATTAAGTTATTAACGTACGGTTGTGACCTTTTGATTTTTAATATAATTACCTCCACATACGGACCAAGATCAATATTTGTATTAAAGCGAAAACAAAATAAGGTTATATGTTTCGTGCTACACGTGATCTAGGTCGAAAATTAATATACATATATGATATATACCTTCGAATAAGTGCACTGATAATACAATGTTCAATGTTTTTAGGAGAGTAATTATTCCTAGTTGGAAGCTAATGATAATAGTCTTAATTCATTTTAACATGTGTTCTATGTGTATGTAGAAGAAAAGGGGGATATATATTAATATATGTATAGTCTATCCATCTATCTACAATGAAAAATAACCAAAATGGAAAAGAAGATCATCAAACTTTTATATATATATATATATATATATACACACACACGAGTACTCGACCACATTGTTTGCCGATGAACATCACATATATTTAATATATAAACATGGATAAATATCAAATCTTATTAATATGTTCATGACAATCACATGATGTACTATTAATTAACATATATATATAAGTACTTAATATATCAATCGATCTGTACGTACAAAAGTAGGTATTATACGGTATGTATATAATAATGATCACTTTTAAGAAAAGAAAGAAGTAATATCTATCAACAAAAAAAAAAAAGAAAAGAAAAGAAAGAAAGAAAGAAAGAAAAAAGAAAGTAGTAGCATCAAATGTAAATTGGAAAGCATGAACAATCATGAGCACTAGCGGTACAGTCAAACTATTTGAGCAACTTAATATGGACATCAACGTATCATATTTGGAGCATGATCTATTAATTCTAAGGTGATCATTACATTACATTAATATTTCTATCAAAGAAAAAAAAAGAAAATTCTACGCCTGCTCGAAAATTTAAAACCATTAATATTGCTTATCATCAATGTCGCTAAGCTACATATATAAATGGCATTAATTTATCCTAAAAAAAAAAGTCGCATTAGCATCTCTTCAAACACACGAGACGTAGACCTAAATTTTATCCAAAATACAATAATAATGATATTATAGACTTAGGGTTTCATGTAGAGATGCCTAATCTAAGTTGTAAAACACATCTTATTACACAATATACACATCATTGCCAAAATAGCATTTCTCGATACGATTTTTTTCTTTTTTTTTTTTTTAAGAGAGCCGAGAGAAGGTAATTTAGTAAACAAAATCTTTTCAAAAAAAATAAATTTTGAAAAATGCAAACGTAATGATAAGATTATTATCAGCGTTTTTTTTTTTTTTTTTTCAAATTTCAACTTCTGTCACAACTCAATTTAAAATGTATGGTGTGCAAAATATAACACGTACAGAAATATAAAAGTACATGCATGCATATACACAATCACAGTCATATCTAAAATACAGCGTGTTAAGTGTGCGGCACATTTCCCTGGTTTTATTTCTTCGTTGCTCAAGTATTTATGGGAAATTGCCGAAACGTGAAGACTTGGAAAAGAACCAATATTAGATCATGATGAAATAAATATGGAAAAATAGGGTATTTTGTTACCAGCAAAAATAAGAAATATAATGGAACATGTATGTATGTAAGAAGGTAAGTAGCTATGTGTGTGTGTAATATATATATATAGTCTATACAACATATATGAGACTTAATTCGTGAAAAGCAGATGGAGATTGGCCAATAATTACACATTTGTCTTCATAAAAAACGATAGAGAAAAGAAAAAAAAATCAAGGATAATGAAATTAATTTCTAGAAAATGCTACAGTACTGATCCTGATCTCATGGTGCTTTGCACTGTAGTTGATGTTTCATAGGCAATAGAAAAAGGCAGTATTTAATATTGAGGCCCACCTTGACAATTACTGTTGAGAGATCCTTATATTCTGTACAAGGCATGTTGTCCCCTCAAAGTAAGATTATGGTGTGGCAATTGACAGCAATTTTTCGTCTCTTCCACTGATTCTCTCCTTAAATTCTTGACATGTATTATGACTTGCTACCTTTTAATAGCCAGGAAAATTTGAGAAAAAAAATTGGAATAAAATTCTTTGGATACTTGTATCAATTGTAATTTCTCAGCTCATATGGGTTTATATAAGGATCTTTCACGGTGAAACACTCGTATTGGTTTACAAGTCTATCGTAATTTTTATAAATTTCAATGTTCAAAGTTCACAAACATATCATTTAAATGCGTAAATTATCACACTCCTTTTAAATTTTACAAGTTTATCGAAACTTATATAACTCCAAACTTCGCAAGTTCTAGCATAAAATACACAAAGTATAATATTCCCAATATGGTACATGGTACCAAGAATACTTCTCCTACCACGGTACAGGGAAATTTTCTCGCAGCACCATAACAATTCTTGGCATTTGCAGGAGGAAAATGAGAATTGGTTGTGGATGTGCAGTGCGAGGATACATATAGAACAAAGTTTTCTGACTTTTTTATGAAGAAAAGTGAATCACAACTACCACTTTTAAAAGGGGAAAAAATCAAAAGCTTCAAATAAATTTTATGATGATTTCTGCACCCATTTTTTCTTTGTTTCAAAATTTTTGTTTATTTGTTTTTCTTGGCTAGGAAGTAGCCCCTTAATGCATATATAGAATAATCCCAGACAAAGTATGCATGCGGTTTATTATGTGAATAAAAAAAAAGTAAGAGAATATATATGAGAATGTATTTGCAGAATGTCTTTACCACTTGAGGCATAAAGTGTTTAAAGACTTAATTATTTGTGTGTAGAATTTAACAGTCACTTAAGAAGAAGATCTTCATATATGCCTCGGCCAAATTCATAGTAGAAGATTGCATGCTTAGGTCTTTTGCATCAAAACTAAATAATGGAGCATATACAATAATACAAATAAGGAATCCTATCTCTTCTGTAATAATTGAGCTGCAAAGTTGGAGACGTGTATACATATACATATATATATATATATATATTAAATAAAAAAACGCATATCACAAGTGTAATTTCATTTATTCCATAAGATAAACTTTCATTTCTACTACAGAATAACCTTAATATCAAAACAGTTATTATACAAATTGCAACTCTCAGTTTGCGCTCAGCGCGTGTGTGTATATATATACGTGTGTGTGTGTGTATGGTACTTGGATTAATATCAATATAATTGAATAGAAAATTAGTATGCAAGTGTAGTTTTTTTTTTTTATTGCATAATAATATGAGCCACACATAGTTAGTAATATATATGATTACTCAGATAATACAATTGATAATATCATTGGAAAGTTGTCTATCTTTTTGCCCATATCCAAGACAATTTCAACATTAGTCTTTTTTTCCCTTTGTACAAATCTTTTGAGAAATGAACAAAAGTTGCTATGATACTGCTACTACTAGCTAGCTACTTATATTAGTTGCCTTTTGTTATCATAATTATTTCCAGGCTATCTATACTTATTATTAATGAAATTAGACGTTATTAATTTATCAGCAAATTAGCTAGGCAAATTGTTACCAACAACAAGAATTAGCTAGGAGTCAATTTTTGTTCCAAAAAGACTCAATACTCTAGGAAATTCCATTTGTCAAATCTCTCCGTATCAAAAGATTACCCAATGAGTGACAATTCAGATATCAGAGGAGGGCCCCACTTGTATAAGTTTTCAGCAATGCTGATTCACTAACAAAATCCAAAATTCAAGCAAAAAAAAAAGAAAAAAACAAAACAAAACAAAATCCCCCCCAAATAAATAAATAAATAAATAATAAGAAAACTCCCCACTCTAAATCCCATCTCTTTCTCAGTCTAAACAATTTGCACATTGCACAAACTTGGGTCATGATTTAGCCATGTGGGTGTCCCCACTTTTCCCCCCATCAAATCCCAGCCATCCAAGCTACCCTCCCTTTCTGTATATATACACCACTCCCCTTCCCTTTCTTTCCCAAGTTTCTCTCTTCCTTCCAATATTTCCTCTGATCCATCTTCAACACTTATCAATGGCTTGCTTAAATATGTCCAAAGAGGTGAGCCAACCTCTCATCTCCTAATTTGCTTCTCTCTCTCTCTCTCTCTCTCTCTCTCTCTCTCTATACATATACTTGGCACTATATATATTTATATAATTCTATCTCTCACCCAAAGCATACGATTTTCATGATATACCATGTTTTAAAGTCTCCAAAGCCAAAGCAATAGTACTTTTTTTTTTCATTTTAGTACCATTCTTTTCCTCCTGGGGGTCAAGAAACAAGAATATTTACATATGCATTAATGTAAACAAAATTTGTTACTTTCTTGTATATTGATCATTTATCATCATTGTGCCAAAATTAAATAAAAAAAAATTATTCAGGGGAACTTCAAAGATGAACAAGGAGAAATATGCACTCTTGATGGAACAGTTGATTGGCATGGTCGCCCTGCAATCAAAACAAAATCTGGTGGATGGGTTGCTGGGACTATCATTCTCTGTAAGCTCCACAAAAACACCTAATTTTTTTATCACTAATTAAATATCCAAATTTAGGATTAATTTCTTTGTTTGTTATTACTCCTTTGTATTGTTTGTTTATGATCATGATCAAGTCTAAACTTATCTGAAATAATATCGTTGAAACTGATAAACACTTTAAAAGGGTTTTCAGTTTCAACTCCTGTTTCCATTTATAATATTATGGGCAAACAAAAGTCACTTTCAAAAGCAGAAAACTCCTCTGTTTCTGCTCAGTCAGAGAGAGAGATAGAGAGAATGCAGGGTAACATAATTTATCCTATTAAGACAAAATTCAGATTTTGGGCTCTCTTCTTCTCCTCCTCCTCCTTGGAACGTTCGTGAACTTTACACTGAGAGAGAGAGAGAGAGTTTATCCAAATAGGCTTTAAAAAAAAAATAGATAAGTGGTTAGAAGGTGGGCTGTGTAAAGAGCTTCTGGTTTTCAAGCCTACAAATGGGGAAAAACGACAAGATAACTGATAATTCCCAACACCTGGCAATGAAAAACAAACCAAGTGTATATGTATTTGTTTATGTGTGTGTGTGTGTGTGTAATCTTGTTTGCAGTTAGTGTTGTATATATAACTCAGGGTTTTAGCAGTTTCTGTCAGAAGAGTACAACATTCACCGCAAGCCAAGATTATGACTTTCTAGAGAGAGAGAGAAAGAAGAGAGGCTTGTTTGGTAGGTAACAGGCATCTTATATAAGCCTGCTTTTGGTTATCACAGCTTACTCTTAGCTAGATAAACGACATGAGAAGAGAACTAGGGTAGAGAGAGAGAGAGAGAGAGAGAGAGAGAGAGAGAGAGAGAGAGAGAGAGAGAGAGAGAGAGAGAGGGAGAGTAAGAAAAGCATGCATTGAATGTTGTACGTACCATACACGTAATACCACTCCTTGATTTTGCATGACGTGGGCGTTTGCCACGTGGCATGCATAAGAAGACAGCTAGAAGAATGAATGCTCATAATAAGTGGCGTCTACTGTTTTTCAAGGTTTTTCTCCAATCATTTATTTTTTGAAAAAAAATTTCGCTAGTGGATGATAAAATACTTATCCACATAATATAATTTTTAACTGTCAAATTCTATTATAATCAGATTAGATTAAAAATAATAATAATAATTTAAAAAAAAAAACTATTCTACTAACCCTATCTTAAAATTCTCTCTAAAATTTTAAGGACATTATGAGGAGCATGATATTAGATTCTTTTAAAATTCTTTTATAAATATGTTACTATATTTTTTCAATGCGCAAATATGTTATTAGATTGATAACTAGATATAATGCCTAGTGACAATAGCGGTGAATAATGAAATGGATTGGAGATAGCTGAATGGAAAATTTTGTGTTGAAAACTACATAATATGGTTCTTTTTTTTTTTTTTTTTTTGTATCTTCATCAGAATAATTATGGAGATATGGATTATGGAACCAGAAATATGTGGTCTATAATGTCCCGTGATTAATGATATCATTGGACCTTGTCCAAATAAATAACTAGAAACTTTTTCATGGAAAGCCTAGAAGCCTGAAAATCTTAACGTGATATGAAAATTAAAAAAAAAAAAAAAAAAAAAAAAAAAAAAAAAAAAAAAAAAAAAAAAAAAAAAAAAAAACACCAGAAATTTCATTAGAAAAAACAAATAAATAGAACGCAAAAGTTGCTTCTTCTTTTTCATGAATAAAAAACTGCTTCTTTGCTACGTGCGAGGTTTGCTTTACGAATATATTAATTAATTTGTTTTAGGGTAGAGATCATGGTGTCCAGAATTTTACCATCATCTTGTAATTAAATTGGCCAATGAATCATATATTATAATATATAAAGCTTGACCTAAAATGCAAATAACTTTGTCATACCCGAACGTTTTTCAATTTGTCTAAAGGGGAAGAAAAGACAAACTAGCCATGGTTATAGGCACGAACATTGGTCCTTGTCTCTCTCTAGAAGGCCAAGCCAAAAATGTCTACCTTTTCTAAATTAAAAAAAAAGGAATAAATAAATAAAACACAAAAAGCCTATAACTTTTTCTCTCTTAGGAGTCACACCCATTAAACGTGACATATAAAAATTAGATATAAAAACTAAATACAACCTTTTCACTTTGATAGTGAAAGAATTAGTTAAAGGTACTTTTGTGGCCCAAATTGGTCTATAGGTCACAACAATATTATAATGTTGCATGTAGCGATACTATTACAGAGGTACCCTCTTGACAAATATCATTTGAAAATAAATAAATTAGGATTTTTACTTTTTATTTTTAATTCATAATCTTTTTAGTCAAATAATTACACTAACAAAAGAATATTTATCAAGAATAAATGATAAGGGTCCAGACTAATACATTTTTAAAAATTCTATTACTACAAAAGCAACATAGTTTTTTTGGTGCTCTTTTTCCACTACTAGGAGAGGTAGATAGATACCTTTGAAGTTTAAAACGGTACTTTTTTTTTTTGTAATTTTGGCTACGAAGTTTGAAACGGTACTTGTTTGGTAAAGATTGGTTACAATGAAACTCTTGAAGCCATATTTGAATTATAACGAGAGAAAAAACACATGCCAAGATCACAGTATCAATAATATTAGCATGACAATTTTGTTTTTCCTTGATAGGGTAAAAATATAGCCATGATCTTTTGTTCAAGATCTTGGTACCTTTAAATGCTTTTGGAGTTTTTCCTTGAAAGCAAATTTGAAAACGGTTTTTAAGATCCTAGAGATCCCATGTTGGCTATTAGCTAATTATTTCACCTGCTAGGACTTTTTTGTTTTTCTTTCCAATTTTTCTCCAAGAATAGAAAATAGAATTGAACTAATACAAATTATCCTCTTAAGTGGTTTAACCAATTTAGTTTAACAGAATTCATTAATTAATCTGTCAAACTTGATCTACTTTGGCTTGAAATTTTGAGAAAATAAGCATTGTTTGTAGTCTGTTATTTCTAGTAATCATTCATTTGAAGTATATGTTACATATATTATTCTTTTCAACATTCACTTGCTCTAAATCTGCCCACTTATAAAGCAAACATTCTAACTTTCCCGTTTCATGAACCAAACAGTGAACCAAGGCCTAGTTACGCTGGCATTCTTCGGTGTCGGCGTGAATCTGGTGCTGTTCCTGACAAGGGTGCTGCAGCAAAACAACGCGAGCGCTGCTAACAACGTAAGCAAGTGGACTGGAACCGTCTACATTTTCTCTCTGTTCGGCGCTTTCCTCAGTGACTCCTACTGGGGAAGATTCAAAACTTGTGCAGTCTTTCAGGCCATCTTTGTTGTAGTAAGTGTATATATTTTGAATATATTTCACTAGTATTCTAATTATGCGTTCTTGTAATAGTAATACTTAATTTGCATTTCTTTTGCAGGGCCTTGTATCACTTTCACTATCAACAAATCTCTTCTTGCTTAAACCTAAAGGATGTGGAGACCAAGAGACCAAATGTGGGAAACATTCAAACTTAAATATGGCACTATTTTACCTTGCAATCTATCTGGTTGCCCTGGGATATGGAGGGTATCAGCCTAGCATCTGTACATTTGGGGCTGATCAGTTTGACGAAGTGGACCTCAAGGAAGGGCGGTCCAAGGTGGCGTTTTTCAGCTACTTCTACCTCGCTTTGAACCTCGGTTCCCTCTTCTCCAACACCATTTTGGTCTACTTTGAGGATGAGGGGATGTGGGCACTTGGGTTCTGGGTGTCCGCAGCCAGTGCATTTGCAGCATTAGTCCTGTTCCTTGTTGGAACTCTTAGGTACCGTCACTTCAAGCCGAGCGGCAACCCCCTCTCGAGGTTTTGCCAAGTCATCGCTGCAGCAACGAAGAAGTGGAGAGTTGAGATGCCACCGAGTGGGGATGACTTGTATGAGGAAGATGGGAAGGAGTCATCCATCAATGGAAGCAGAAAGATTCTACACACTCATGGTTTCAAGTAAGCATAGAACTCATCCAAACTCAATTCTTCCACGGTCTAAATTTTGTGGATTTTGTTTGATATTTGCATTAGATGCTAAATTTTTCATCCCACTAAGCTGCAAAAATGGGATAGAAACTTTTAAAATTTTGGACTAACTTGGCTAGCAAACCACTAAATCCATTCCTAATTTATATGTGTCTGCTAGGTTCTTGGACAGGGCAGCCTATATCTCATCCAGGGAAATGGAAGTCCAGCAGCAGGGCCACCGTAATCCATGGCGTCTCTGCTCCGTCACTCAAGTTGAAGAGGTTAAATGCATTCTGAGACTACTCCCAATTTGGCTCTGCACCATTATCTACTCTGTGGTCTTCACCCAAATGGCTTCTCTTTTTGTGGAGCAAGGTTCCGCCATGAAAACTACTGTTTCCAACTTCCGAATCCCGCCAGCCAGCATGTCCAGCTTTGACATCCTTAGTGTGGCACTCTTCATCTTCATCAACCGGAGAATTCTCGACCCACTTGTGGGAAGGCTAAGGAAAACAAGTCCTAGAGGTCTTTCAGAGCTGCAAAGAATGGGAGTCGGCCTTGTCATAGCAGTAATGGCGATGGTTTCGGCCGGGATCGTTGAATGCTACAGGCTCGAGTATGCCAGAAAGGACTGCACTCATTGTGAAGGGTCTAGCTCCTTGAGCATCTTTTGGCAAGTCCCACAGTATGCATTCATAGGAGCTTCCGAAGTGTTCATGTATGTTGGCCAGCTTGAGTTCTTCAACGCTCAGGCACCGGATGGATTGAAGAGCTTCGGAAGCGCCCTGTGCATGACATCTATTTCTCTTGGAAACTACGTCAGCAGTTTGCTAGTGAGCATGGTTATGAAGATCTCGACTGAGGATCACATGCCGGGATGGATCCCTGGAAATCTCAACAAAGGTCACCTAGACAGGTTCTACTTCCTCCTAGCAGCCTTGACATCAATAGATTTGGTTGTCTACATCGCCTGTGCCAAGTGGTACAAGTGTATCAAGTTGGAAGGAAAATGTGGAGAGAACGACAACGGAGACGAAGACGACGAGAGTGAGCCCGAGAACAGCAAACCCTGATGAAGAGGAAAACCAGACAAGACCAGACATGTTAAGGCCTATGCTAGCAAAAAAATAACCTACTACTTAAATAAGAGAAACGGGGTAGGCACAAACACATGGGGGAGAGTTTGGTGTTCGAAGAAAATAGTTGGGGGAAGAGTGGGAAAAAGATACAAGAGAAACACCCCCAATTTGCACTCAACTTCGCTTTGCACCCATTTCTCTGTTTCTACATATCACCTGACACAAAATCATATTTTTTGTTCACAGTGAACTGGGTTGTGTTTGTTAGTGTGTTCGAAGAGATGGATAGCTTTTGCTTTAGGTCTTCATCTTGCTACCCCATTCTCATTTGTTGCTTCTGCTTGCCATAGGATTAACATGTGCTTCCATTGCACATATTTGTGTAAGAGATTACTTTCTCCAACGTTAATAGAAGTAACCCTTTCCCTGAAGCTTGTATAACAGCTTGTTATGTACATCTCCGTGTGTGTGTGTTTTATGTCTAGTGTTTTGGAAAGATACCATCCTAGCTAGAATCACAATAAACTAACAATGTTCAACTATGGCTTGATTCTTGGCTTTAAACAGAGGAAAACTAACTGGGAAACAATTATGTTCCTAAAAGGCCCATGTAATTTCACTATCTGCATGCCATTAACACGCTAAATTCTGGTAAAATGCTTTGGGACACCACCAATGTTGACTGCTTAACACCATAACTAATAGAAAGTCAGCTCCATCTGTGAGCCCCATATTACAAAGCCACTTTCTATTGGTGTTTCGTGTCCAACACCACCAGTGCCGGTTGACCCAGATTTTGAACAGCTACGAAACTAGTGCGTAGCTAACATTGAATAGTGAAGATGAAAACTAACTTTAGCCAATATTTCTCCTTGCATCTGAATAATAGCACACATGCAACATCCAAGGTCGCACGACATGACATGCCATTTAAGTGTATGTCATAGCATGACATATGTTGCTACCAGTATGCATGTCATGTGATAGCATAGCTTGCAAGTATATGTTCAATGCCATAACAAGCATATTCAAACACCATGTCATGTTGACTAGAAATTATCTCAGTATTCAGAAACGGTTTGGAGAATACCTGGGAAAATTGTGGGGGATCATACACATTAGCTATCAAAAAAAGAAGAAAAAAAGCAGATTAAAAAAACGTAAAAAAGAAAATGTTGAGAATTTTATGGCACAAAGTTGAGACGTCTATGTCAACAAAAAAATAATCTCTATAAATTAGAAAGCTTCCACTAAAGACATCAAGAGGTTTTCAACGTTATCAGAGTAATCTTATAGGTCAAACTTGGCAAACAATTATTCAAACAATCCAAAAAATATGAAACAGACTTGACTAAAACGAACTAATTTCTTTATAGGAAAAAGAAAAACTCGTCGAGTGCAAAATCAACTCTGGACCTTGCGCACTTGAATGTGATGAGTAGATTCTTGACGCCAAATCGGTTGTGCACCACTTTGGACAAGGGTAACGTGCTCTCCCTCTTTTAGGTGACCCCTATCCTGAAATTCGTAAACATTTAACAAAATAAGATGGTGATGTAAGCAAATAATTATAAAAAAAAAAAAAGAAAAAAAAAAAAGAAAAAGAAGAGTAGATCTAGCTTTGAGAAATCACTAACCAGCAATAGCTTGAGTGCCCTTGAGAATGTCTCTTCTGCATCATTTGAGAACTCCATGTATATTGGAAGGACGCCGTGATAAAGCACCAGCCTTTGCTTAATCCTCTCTCTGAAAACCATGAAACCATCTTGTCAGATAAAATGACCTTGCACTTGCACAACAATTTCATCCTCACATGAAAAAACCAACAATGAGAATTGTGAGTGTTGATCCTCTATGTCCAATCAGCATGGGGAAGCAAACAACCTCTAGATGAGTTTAAAAATTCTAAAGACTGAACTGAATTATACTGTCAACTGTCCCAAGAAAAAAAAAAAAAAAGTTCTTTCGACTTTTTATTTATATACGTATATAGTTGTTCCTAACATATACTTACTCGTTTGTGAAGGCAAAGATTGTTGAGGAAGGTCGATAATGACTTAAAAGTACAGCCATGGATCCTGTTCTTGTGAAAACAATAATTGGAGTATTAAGAGTGTTTGCCATTGTTGTGGAATGGAATGCAAACATTTCTCCCATATGGCTCTGTGGACGTGCGTTAAAAAAAAAAAAGAATCAGAATGCTTAAACAGAGACCAGAATCAGAATGCTCGGTGAGCATATTTGCCCAGCATGATGTAACCGGCCCAAAGGCATGTCGTGCAGCAATTCCAGACACCAGTAGTGATAATTTTCAAATTTTTTTTCTGATTAAGATTATTTGGAATTGACGTGCATATTAATATGTGCATACCTTGTATGCACTCAACTGATCAGGAGGAGCAGTGGTAATTGGTAGGCTTGACTCAGTCCTCAATGCTACAGTATGCATTACTTTCACAGCTTTCAAAGGAAACCTTTTTGTACAATTAAAAAGATAGAAAATAAATAACTAATGACAATCAAAAAATAACTCAAATTGAAAGATAACCCCATCTCTTGAAAAATGAAAATATACATAGAATTGCTAGTGAAGTATAAAGTGGAAATGAAGAAGGAGGTATCACAGGTCAAGTGTGAACTTACTTTCCATGAGCAGTTTCTCCCGAAAGCATGACTGCATCGGCGCCTTCTCGTACTGCGATCGCGATGTCGGATACTTCTGCCCTTGTTGGCATAGGATGGCTGATCATGCTCTCCAGCATGTTTGTTGCTACAATGACTGGTTTCTGCATCCTATGACATCTTCTAATGATTTCCTCCTACATATATTATAACAGATTTTTCTTATGACATAATATGAGCCAAATTACCCTCAAAAAAATATGAGACAAATTTAAAATTCTAACGTCAGTGTCTTAAGGAGATTTAAGGTGATCATGTGAAAATATTAACTCGTCATCTATATGTTGTTCATGACATAGGATAAGATCAATTCAAAATCCAACTATCATTGCTATGATATAGAGATCACAGATAAGCATTTTTACAAAACCATAATTGGTCTTGTTATCTAAAATATTTAGATTTTATTATTATACATGTCAGGAAGTTTGTCAACAGCTGCATCCTCAGTAGTGCATTAAGTGGCCAAGATTAAAAATTATAAAAAATAATAATAATAAAATAATAAAAAAAAACTAAACTGCCTGATTACCTGCAATAGAGGAACATCCTCAATTGGAAGTTCAGCTCCAAGGTCCCCACGAGCCACCATAGCCTACAAAGAAAAGAAACTAATTCATTTTTGCAAATGAGAGAGAGAGAGAGACAGACAATATAGGATACTGAGGTTACAGTTAATGTAACAAATAAAAGGTATGAACTCTTTTATTCATTGGAGAACTAAACCTCTAGTTAATTCTTTTCCCCTCTTAATACTTTTATTTATTATTATTATTATTATTTAATTGAAATGAGGGGGGAGAGAGAGAGAGAGAGAGAGAGGGTAGAAACATTGACTAGTAAAGAGTAATAATTAAGTGCCTCATAAAGAAACACTAAAAACTAACCCCATCAGATGCTGAAATTATAGACTGAATATTCGGTATAGAGTCTGCGCTTTCAATTTTTACAGTCACATGAATGTCCGCATTGCAACCTGCAAAAGAGGTTTGCAAAAATTCAGTTCTAAACAAACAGTAAAATGACTATTATTGAATAAATTTGCCATCATTTTGAAATAAACAAATACATAAACCAAAAACTCACTTTTAAGATAATCTTTCAGCTCATGAACCACTCTAGCATCTTTCACAAAAGAGACAGCGTAGAAATCAACTTGGTTGTCTACTCCAAACTTGATATCCTCCCAGTCTTTATCTGTAGAAAAGACAGACATAGAAGATCATATACTGAGTTTATACATCCATTTCGATATGCAAAAGATAAAGTGGATGGAAAGCTAAAACTCTGTATCAGCACCATCAGCATTTCATGTTACCTGTTATTGAAGGTAGATTTGCACTCTTGCCACGGACATTTAAATGGCGCCTTGATTTTAGTTCTCCGCCATCAACTACTACACATTTAACTAAATAATTTGTCTTTGACTGAACTTCCAAAGACATCATTCCACCTAGCATATAAAAGGATAAAAGAGTCATAAATTCAGTAAAACCGTTAAGAACATTAGTGTATTTTTATCTAGTTAAATAAAAGTTCAGAGATTAGAGGTAAAAATACTAGGTATTCTTCAGGTTGCAGTATGAAGCCATTTACAAATCACTAAATTTTGACAGAGTCAACTACAGTATTCTAAGGGCTATATAGTAGATGCAGTCAAACAATTTTTCTTTTGTCTTTGCTTGAGAAGTGGAACAATCGGATTATTGCACAATCACTGAATTGGATTATTGCATAATTCATGGACCAATTGTTTACCATCAACCAGCAGGATGTCTCCAACCTCCACATCATTCACAAAGTCATCATAATTTACACTAACGGTGTCTTCTGTGCTGACTCCTCTTTTGATTGTGAAATTGAATTCTTGTCCCTCCTTAAGCAGTAATGGTTGAGGTACATCTCCACTTCTAACCTCAGGACCCTGCATGAAGAGTTTGAAGAGCTCATCTATTGGTTATAACTACACAAGAATGTAGAAAAAACATTGATTGAAAGAAAAGAGGATGAGATATTGATGTGGCTAGAGCATTCATTATATGATCCAAATAGTGCAGTATTCAGTAACTAAATATCTAATCTAAAAAACAAATGGCGAATAAAGAAAGATAATTCTAACAGGTGTGTGAAGTAAAAAGGAGTATCGAGAAATAGTATCATAAGATAAACTTCAGACTGTAAGCAATTATTCGATTCATCTGAATGCAATTCAGGAAACCACAGGAGCAATTGTAGAACAGTTACCACATTTATGATTGTTTTCACAATTTTGATCTACATCATGTGGACAAACTGTAAACTCTAATGCAATGCAGCATTGTCAATGGACTATGTTCCTATGCTTCTCAACTAGACTCATGGCGATAGAGGCTGACAAAAATGAAAGAGAAAGACAACAGCAAACCTTGGTGTCCAACATTATGGCCACGACCTTGTCGTCAAACTGCGAGTTGTATTCTTTAACAAGATCAATGGTTTTCTGGTGCGATGCGTGGTCCCCATGTGACATATTCAAACGCGCCACATTCATTCCAGCTTCTGCCAACTTCCAAATCATCTCGCGTGTGTTCGTGGAGGGACCGATAGTGCATACTATCTTAGTTTTTCTCCGACTGTTCGCAGTCACTCTTGCCTGGCCCAGAGGGTAATCGCTAGACTGCTGCTCAAACGAAGAGTTCAGCTTCTCCTGGCAAAGAAAAATAAAGATCCTTTAAAAACAAAAACATGGATCGACACAATCATAGCCTCACTCACTCACTCACAAGCGTAGTTCTTCCACCGAAAAATCTGACCACTATAATCTCTATGGCAAAGAGGCATTTTAATATCGAGTTCATTATCAGATACAATTTGCAATTTTACTTCAAAGAAACAACACTTATTCAATATTACATTCGAAGTCCTACCTCAAACAATTAGTATCTTCCAAAAACTTCCCTCTATGAAGTAACACATAAAACTTCCCTTAAAAAAAAAAAGTAATACAATATAATGCATATCCTCATCACTACTCTACCCTGGAATTTTTCAATGACAATACAGAGGAAATATGTTTCAAAAACGGACAAACCAAGAAAATTAACGCATAGAAAACCTGAAAAATTTGGACTGCATAAAACAACTCCAAACATGGAACAGAATGCTCAAAACCGTAAGAAGCAAACAAAAGATTAAACCTTTATAAACTGGGAACAGCAAAGTTCTAATCAACATTAACCATTGAATACAGATGCTAAATCACCACCGAGTTTTCCAACAAGTCAAATTTTTTAACATAAAACAATCATTATGGTACAATCCAAAAGTCCTAGAATCAACAATTTGACATATGAATCAATGATTGGTTTAGGATTTCCCGACATTCCAAAGAGTTTCGATAACTTCAAGGTGCCAGAATTGCAGTCCGAAATCAGCACCACCAAAATCACACAAAGACCAAAAATAAATGAAAATGAAAACTTACAGTGGTACCAACAAGGCCATTGGAGGAGTTGAGCTGGCCTTTGTGTCTCTCCTCGGCGATCGCCATCGATCTGATACTGAAACCGTTTTTCCTAGAAAATTTATTCCCGGCGGATCTTGTTTGGAAGGCGAGAAAATCAGTGATGCTCTTGGAGGAGGCCAGAGAATCGGAGGTCCTCTCGGCTTTGGGGAGCGACATTCTAGCCGGAACGCTTATAGCCGCCGCCATGGGAGAAGAAGAAAAGGCTCTCTAAGAAGAAACACCAACAAAAATAATAAATATATAAATAAAAAGTTGAAGAAAGCAGAAAGAGGAAATAATGAAACAGGGAGAAACAGAGTTTGGGGCACTCACAGAGAGAAAGCCAAGTAAGTTAGAGAGAGAGAGAGAGTTGATGGACGCTCTGCTGAATGCTGATGGCTCTGGACAGTTGTTTGTTTCTCTCTCTTCCTCTCTCTCTCTCTCTCTCTCTCTCTCTCTCTGTGATTAATAAAAGACTGCAAAATTTGTTGCAAAAAACCTCAAATGTCATAAGTTTCTTCTTTTTGTAACCCCTTTTTTTTTCTTTTTTGCCCTTTAGAGGATTTTACTGTAATAAAATATAAAAAAAGTCTACCGTTGTATTTTGTATTAAATTTTATTAGTTCTATATTTTATTTTAATTTGATTTGATTTTAATCAAATTTAAAGTAAAAAAAGTTAAAAGAGTTAGAAGATGTAAAAAAAAATTGAATTCAAAAAAGTAATTTAATAAAAAAATATGGTGTAAATTTGATTATTTAAAACTTTTTATAGAATAAAGTCTTTTATAATATCTTACTAAAAAATTTTGCTTCTTTCTTTTGAGTTTTTCTTTTGAAAATGAATATAAAATAGCTGTTAAAGTTTGACCACGTGTCTCCGTTTGATATTAGTGTAGGGTTTTCTAAGGTTATGTATATAAAGTAATGTTAAAGATACTAATTTAAATCTTAATTTTAATATATTAATTAATGTGATATGTGAGTTATTATTTTTTATTGATAAATTTAATTTCTTATCATTAATTAATATAATAATATTTTAAATATATATTAATATAAAAATAACAACTCATATATCACATTAGTACACAAAATTAAAATTTAAATTAGTGCTTAAAATATTATTCATATATATAAGTGATTATTAACTTCATGATTGTCTCAAAAGATGATTTTTTATCATTCAAGAGAGAGAGAGAGAGAGAGAGTTGGCCTTTCTTTTATCCACAGGGAAAAAAAAGGTCAATATTGATCGCTAACAATAGTAGTAAGATTAAGTTAATATTTATCGTGAAAGATATTTCTCAAAAGAGACGTCTTATTCACCAATATAATATTAATCAAAAATCTTATTTTGATATTAAACAACTAAAATTTTTACCATTTAAAAATCAAAATTCTAAATTCTAAATAGAAAACAACATTTGTTTGTACTTTGCACCATCACTTAGCTTCTTTTTTTTTCACGATCATATCATTTGTTTTTCTTCCAAAATAAAAATTAATTTATAGCCATTTAAGACGTTTGTGAGTCAATATACAGTCCAAAATAACATAGATTAAATGTGTGACTTCTACTTAAATTATTTAATTTTGTGCACGGATCATTTATTTGTTCTTTATTTATCATGAATTTTGATTGATAGAAATCTCTCTCCTTTTTCATGAATTTGATTGGCTAGTGGTTTTTTCATGATAAATTCATTATACTTTATCAACGCAATTCATAGTTGATAGATTTTGAACTAAAAGATATTTTAGAATTTGTGTCTTTTATATTATTTTTTAGATTTTTAGATTTAGATTTTATATCTGAATATTTTTTTTAGGGAAAAATCTTGCACAACGCTCAAAATATCTTTTACTGGGGCCATGGCCTTCAAATTTCTGCCACGAAGCAAAACGGCCAAAGTTAAAATAAGATCCCATGTAGTGACGGTGCGTCCACGTGTAGACAAATACTGCCAGAAGTGGGCCCCAGGGGAAAGAGCACTGTACTCAGGTACTGCCGTACTGGTACTTAATTTGTCATAAGTAGCACTGTTTGAGATCTCACGTTTAGCTTATTCAGTCCAAGGTGACGACATGTCGTTTCTGAACCTCGAATGTATCGCCCTAAAATCCTGGTTAACGGACATTTTCTTCGGCACTCACTTTAGAACATGCTCTTTGGCTTTTTTTTTTTTTTTTTTTTGACGGAGGCTCTTGGCATGTAGCATGTGACTTGGCATAAAATATGTGGAGTATGTTTAGTTCGTTGATTTGAGTTTTTAATTTGAATTAAGATATAATTTTATGTAAAAGTTTTTTTCTGTAATAAAAAAGTTAGATGTGACTGTTTCTGAGAGCTTTTTACTGTAATAAAACTCGAATTTTAAACTCAAATCGATGAAATTAATGAGACCATAATGTATTTCTCATAATTTTTTTCCTCTTTTCACACGGATTCATTTAAGGATCATAATATTACCTGGTTCTGAAGGTTTTTGTTGCCGATTTGCATGTGAATTATGTGTGTTATTCGTTTTTGTGTTTATATAAAAGAAATGTTGAAATTGAAAAAACTTTGGGCGGCAAGAGTGCCAGAGTCTGAATTTTTTCAGGCTCGGCGGGCAATCCCCGTTATCCGCCCATCCAGTTAGGAAAGCCCGCTATCCGTTCAACCTCCATGCCCGCCCGCTGTCCGTTCAACCTCCATGCCCGAAGGCCGCCTTAAAGCCCACCCGAAAGCCCACCCAACGGTTCTTTTTTTTACCGTTGCCCGAATTGTCCGACCTGCCCGCCCAAATTGCCTGACCCACCGAGGTAAAAATAGCCGTTGGATTCAAAAATTCACACAAAAAATTGATTTTTTTACCCATAAAATTTCCCTATAAATACCCTCCTCCTCCAAACATTTCTTTCACATAATTTCTCACATTCTCTCTCAATCTCTCTTAATCTATCTCACTTTTGTCTCAAATCTCTCTCACAATTTTTTGAATTGATTGTGATAAAAGTGTGTGTTGATTTTAATCTTAATTATAGTTTTTATATAATTTTTACAATAAATAACTTAATAATTATTTATATAGAAATACAATTAATAAACAATATTATATATAATATTATAAAATATTAAAAAAATTCAGGCAGCTCAGGCTTCCAGATCGGGCTTCGGGCAGCTAAGACTTATTCGAAGCCCGTTCAAGAGGTCCGTTGGGTTCGGGTGGGTAGCCTGAATTTCTCAGGCGGGCGAGCTTAAGTAACGGGCACAAGTTCAATTTTTTCAGGCGGTCATAGACAACCTGTCTAAAATTCCAACACTAATTAATTTTCATTGCATGATAAAACTTTTTTTTTTTTTAATAAAAGATACTCGACATTGAAAAGTCGAAACAAGCATAGAGCAAAAGGGAGCCGGGAAGACCACCTGCCCAGGAGTGTCCAAGTCTAAAAGTCAGTAAAAGCCGAGGGGATAAAGCACAATCCACGTCAAGAATTCCCTTTGAATTAGAATAAGGAGCCTATTTAGCTAAATTATGGGCGCGATAAATTTACTAAAAACAAAATTAAAATCTAACTTAGTATTGGGGCATAAGGATCTATTTATACATGTATGGTTTAACTAGTCTTAGGAAACTTTTCTTTCGAAGTAATGTTATAAGATACTAATAGTGAGAGACCTATAAATATGACTTACTTTTTATTAGTGATAATGCTTAATAACAGTAGTGTGTTTTAAGCATTTTTCCTTTCCTAATACCTACAGAGCGAAATTTGCTTACTCCCTGTTTGGAGGTGGGTCTTGCCACTTACTTGAAATGTCAATTGGACAACTTTATAGTAGTCCCATTAATTGAATTTTTTGAAATTCCAATATTAATCCAATTTGAAATAGAATAAATATAATATTGATTAAGCGTAGTAAGGTAAATTAAATTTTTTAAAAATAATCCATAACTCAATTTGAAAAATATTAGAGCCAGTAAGAGGGTTCCTATAATTAATATTTCATTTAATTAACTCATAATTAAATTACATATAATTATTAGGCTTAATTTATTTCACTGTAAGATCAAAGTTGCAAAATCTATGTCTGTGAGTTCATAAATCACTTGGAACCTTGTATATGGTCATCAATTAATAGAACTAAATTCTTTTAACAGAATTACAAAAAAAGAAAATCAATTCGACTCCAATTCAATGTATTTCAAATGCGTAAGTGTTTTTTTTTATTTTATAGTCACACGCTACAAAAATAGGAATAAAATCATTTCATTCCAAATGGAAATAGACAACACTGCATTTTTGCCAAATAAAATGCTCAATATGTAACAATGTGAAATTTATTATATGAATTATTAATATAAAGTTTACTGCATAAAATTCCATAAAAAAATAACCGTATAAAACTTTAGGAGAATATTTATGGTCCATCATGTACTAATCAGAGGAGTAAGTAAAATACCTTTTGACTTGATAATTAGTAGTAAAAAATGAAGGTTTATTATTGATAAATGTACATATACGCACGGGATTTGGCCCCATTAACAACTCGTTTCCCTCTGTACTTTTCAGGTTTTTTGTTTTTTTTGTTTTTGTTTTTTTTTTTTGTTTTTTTTCCCAAACATCAATTGTCTAATTCTCATTAAACTTTTCTGCTTTCTAACTGCCCATAACAATACTTCCATATACTCGCGTCTTTTGAAGGACCTTTCAAAACCTAAGAAATGAATTACATGAATTATAACGTGTCTTTTTATAGTTATTTATGCCATTTTTATTTTCATTTTTGCTAGGACCGTTTTATTTTCATTTGAATTGGTCAAATAGTAGTTTTGAAGTAATCCAGTTGTTGGTAGTTTAGAACTTTAGATTTGGAGTAGTAGTTGTAATTGCTTCTTATTTAAAGAAGAATTTGAGTCCCATTGAAATAAGAAAAAATTCACGAACACTCTCCAATACTGAAGCAAAAGCACATGCTCCACCATAAAAGGTTCTCAAAATTTTATTTTAAAATAATTATGAGATAGATACGAATATGATTTTAAGTTACATTGCTTAACAATCCACTACTTATCCTAAAGTATACATGTGTTTCCGTTCATTTCGCCGATTCGAGTTTAGAATTCGACTTTTGCTACAGTAAAAAGCTCTCAGAAATAATCACATCTAACTTTTTTACTACAGTAAAAAGCTCTCACATAAAATCACATCTCAACTCAAATTACAAACTCGAATCAGCGAAGTGAACGGGCATATCTCTCGTATCTCTAAATTTTTAAGGGCCCGTTTACTTCGCTGATTCGAGTTGAGATGTGATTTTGTGTGAGAGCTTTTTACTGTAGCAAAAAAGTTAGATGTGACTGTTTCTGAGAGCTTTTTACTGTAGCAAAACTCGAATTCTAAACTCGAATCAGCGAAATGAACGGGGCCTAAGTGATCCCTCAAAACTTATTACAGACCAAGTCATTGTAAAAGAATCAGCAAAGTTGTTTTCCAACGTGATCTAATTTTGTACACTATCAATCCTTGTGAGGGACAATGTGATGAGATGATATTTTTGTTAGATGTGCTTTTCCTTTTATGGTATTGATTTTACATGTAATTTCTCAGCTAATGATTCTTAGACACTAACAAATAAGCTTTCTTCATTTTAAAATATGCCCTTTTAGATAGAGTTATATATATATATATATATATATATATAACACGGAATTAAATCCGTAACTCCCCATAACACCATCCCACCCAAATCTTCGACGCCACTAGGCCAAGTACTCTCCAGCAAAACATCTTTTTTCATTTGGTTCAAAGAAGATTTATTAGTCTTACAGAAATTTGATCAATTCCAACTTTAACTGGCCTTGGAATGCTGGTTAGAGAAAACTTTTTTGTTGGCATTTTTTCATACAATTTGTTATTTGGCATTTTTTCACACGAGGCAAATTAACAAAATAATAATAAATAAAAATTTAAGAAAAGCCGTTGTTTTTTTGCTGAGAAAAAGGCCGTTGTTTGTTTCTCCTCTTTCCGTTGGATAACTCCCTTCACACAGAACAGAAGAACAGGGGGCGGAACTGAAACAACAGAAAGATGAAGCTCTCTTTGAAGCTCCAAGACGACAATAATATTTCTCAAAATCACGATCACCACCACCGCCACCATATCAGCTCCTCACCAGTTGTAACAGCAAAAATCCCCATCTCCATATTCAACCACCCATTCCTCACCTCCATCTCCTCCACCATCTCCGACTCCTCTCACCTCTCTCTTTCTCTCTCCTCCAACTTCGCTTCCGGCCCTTCTCTCAAACTCTCCTATTCCCCCACCGCCACCCCAACTCTCTCTAATCCTCTCTCTCTCTCTCTAAAATCCGGCCTCGGCCTCTTCGGCTCCCCAAACCACTCCCCTCTAATATTCACTGCCCACTTCTCATTTTCCTCTCCAAACCCCACTTTCTCTCTCCTCTTCACCCCCCAATTCGGCAACTTTTCCTTCAAGAAGACCACTTTCTCCAACCCTAGGGTTTCCGATTCCGGGTCCGGACCCGGAATTGGGGCCAATTCGGGTTCTGGGTCGACGTCGAATTTCGAGACGGGAAATGGGTTTGTCCCGGAAGGGTCGTCCGTTTGGCAGGAGCTCAAGTTGGAGCCCTGCGGTGGTAAAAATGGCGGCTTTAAGGAGGGGTTTGGGGTTTGCTCAAATGGGTCTGAGAAAGATGGGGGGATTTTGTCTGGGATTGCTGTGATGGCGAGGACTGTGTTTCCAGTGACTAAAAGGGTGAAGATGAATGTGAGGTGGGGTGTGAATTTGCCGTCGGATTTGGGGTACAAAATGCCTTACTTGAAGTTGAACAAGATTGGGATAGAGAGAGTTGAGGAGGATAAGGAAGAGAAGAAGAAAAAAAAGAGTGATGAGACTAGTAGTGAATTGGAGTTGTTGAAGGGAATGTGTTTTTGGATGAGTAGGGATTTGGAGGTTTTAGAGAGAGAGAATAGGGAGATGAAGGAGATGAAGGAGAGCTTGGAGCAGATGAAGGTTGGAGTTTCCGCCGCTGGTGGCAAACATTTCCGGTTGGATTCGGCGTCTAAAATGCCTTTGGGCGAGAGTTCTAGCGAGTTTGAGAGGTGGAGAAACAGGAAGAATGTTAAAGAAGAGAATGGAAAGAGAGAGCCGAAGAAGCCGGCAAATCAGGCGGCGAGTGATCTTGAATCCGAATTGGAGAGAGCGATCAAGGCTGCTGCTGGTGCTGCTTCCACTTAGTAAGGTTTGGAGCAATTGCTAGTAATGCTGATTATTTTGTTGCTTTATGCGCAAATGTAAATTTTTTTTTTAAAAAAATCGACCTTTGGTTCGATGTAGAGACTAGGCTACTTGATTATAATTCCAGAGTAGAGTAGAGTGGACTTTGTTATGAAAAGAGGTCATCTTTGCAAATGTTGTAGCAATTGGTTCCACGTTTTCTATTTTTCTGAATGTTACTATGTACAAACGATTGAGTTTTGAGCCTTTTATTGGCAATCCCAGAATACTTGTGTTGGCCACTTTGATTGAATTATGCGAGTGATTATTTGAGTCCTTGTTCTTGTTTATTGTAAGCTTGTTATCGCATGGTGGAAATCTTTAAGGGTAATGTTTACAAGAAGTAAGCCTTGTGTACTTTATGTAAAATCCTCAGAATTACTTTGATTCCCGGTATATCTGGATGCCAGTAAGAAATTTCCTCAATTTTGCAAGTGTCCAAGTAAAGGTACGTTTTTGATAATATTATATTGAACAGGTGAAATGTGCATTTAGCCTTGTTCAGCATTTCTTGGTAGCTTGAATCAGTAATAGGTTTTTGGATCTTTTCCAACTTCATCGATCAATTTAGGCATTTTCCTAGGGAAAAAAAAAAAAACCAGAATTTAGCTGCATCAATCATAAACAAATTTGTCTAGCGTATTGAATACTTCGGGTTAGTTTGCTCAACTTTCTGGTCAATGAATAAGTTGTTTTATTCAGTTTGTATAGTAAACAAATTGGTCTTATTCCAGTTGAGAGAAAATGCAGGTTCGCACAATAACAAAGAGTTTTAATATGAAAAAGTAACTTTTTAATCTAGAATTACATGTGGATGGTAATCCTTGTTATGTGAAAGGTGGATAGAAAAAAAAAAATGATAAAAAGAAATGTCAGCGCAAAGTCAAACACTCGCAAGTATAATATATTGGCCGGTGGCGTTCTTTGTGGCATCAAAGGAATTGGAGGAGATTTACACTTCCATGTTATGTAAACAACAAACTATGAACTAACAAAAGTGGGTGTATGTTGCAGGATTGAACTTGTTTACAAGGTTAAATAACAAACCAGACAAAGTGTTTAGTGATCATGCTACTCCGTCTAGTACCCCTGGAACATTGGTGGAGGTGGTGATGAGTATTGGAATCCGAAGGTTGGTGGGAGGATTAGGTCATCCACAGGAGGTGGTGGCGGCGAGAATGCAGGAGGAGGTGAGGGAGATGGTGAAGGTGGTGGTGGAGATTGGACTGGTGGAGGTGGAGAGTTAACTGGCGGTGGAGGTGAGAAGACAGGTGGTGGAGGTGAAAAAATAGGAGGTGGTGGTGAGTGGATAGGTGGTGGAGGTGAAAAAACAGGCGGTGGAGGTGAGTGGACAGGTGGCGGAGGAGAGCTAATTGGTGGGGGTGGAGGTGAGTAGACAGGCGGGGGGGGAGAGTTGATTGGTGGGGGAGGGGAGAAAACAGGTGGGGGAGGTGAGAAGACAGGTGGTGGAGGTGAGTGGACAGGTGGCGGAGGAGAGCTAATTGGTGGTGGTGGAGGTGAGTAGACAGGCGGGGGGGGAGAGTTGATTGGTGGTGGAGGTGAGAAAACAGGTGGTGGAGGTGAGAAGACAGGTGGTGGTGGAGATTGGACCGGTGGAGGTGGAGAGTTAACTGGTGGTGGGGGAGAGTTAACTGGAGGTGGTGGTGGTGGTGGTGAGTAAACCGGAGATGGAGGAGGAGAGTGAACTGGTGGTGGTGGAGGGGTAAGGACTGGTGGCGGTGGAGGTGGGGAGCGAATAGGGGTCGGAGGAGAGTGAATTGTTGAAGGTGGTGGTGGTCGAATGGGTCCTTGAACTGGAGATCTGTTAGTGGGGTCAGGGGGTGGCGGGAAGGAGTAATGAGCATTTGGTGGAGGAGAATGAACCAGAGGTGGTGGTGAGGACTGAATTGGGGGTGGAGGATAATGAACCAAAGGTGGTGGTGAAGACCGAACAGGGGGTGTAGGAGAGTGGACTAGTGGTGGTGGACGAGTTGGGCCGCCGACAGGAGATCTGTTGGAAGGATCGGGTGTAGGTGGTGGTGGGGAGTGCACTAGTGGTGGTGGTGAATGAACAGTTGGTGGGGGTGGGCGCATTGGTCCGGGCACCGGAGATCCATCAGTGGGATCTGGTGGTGAATCAGGTGTTTGTGGAGCACTAGGAACTGGCTTTGGAGATGGTTTTGGAGGTGTTGAAACTGGAGTAGGTTTTGGTGGATGTGGTATTGGTTTAGGAGGAGTTGAAACTGGTTCTGGTGTTAATGGTTTTGGCTTCTCAGGTGTTTTCGGTTTTGGCTGAGGTTTTGGAGGAGTTGAAACTGGCTCTGGAGCTACTGGTTTTGGTTTCTCTGGTGTTTGAGGTTTTGGAGGAGTTGAAACTGGCTCTGGAGCTACTGGTTTTGGTTTCTCTGGTGTTTGAGGTTTTGGAGGAGCTGATATTGGTTCTGGTGATAGCTTTTGCTTTGGAGGTGCCTGTTTTGGTGGGTATGATGGTAGTGGATGCGGCTTCGAAGTCTTGGGAGTTGGCATGGGTAGTCGGTTTGACGGCCATCCACACTTTGCCTTGCTGCAATCAACTGGCTTGTTGACAACAACTTTACATTGTTTTGCAGCCTTCTGCTTTGGCCTATCTGGTAAGCAATTGCTTGTGTCATCCAATACAATGTTCTTATTCTTTGACGGCTCACATTCTTGGGCCTCTCCATTGAAGTAGTTGTAGGAGAATGTCAAGTTCATCAAGCTAGGCAATTCGCAAATGCTCTCCTGAACAAACCCAGTTAGTGTATTTTGTGCAAGAACCAACTGTTCCACCTTGTGAAGGGATTTGAAAGTTTTGGGCAAAATCCCACCGAATGAGTTGGAGCTAATATCCAAAACTGTCAAATTTCCAAGGTTGCCGATCTCCATTGGCAAACACCCAACAAGATTATTGTTGGAAACGATAATCTCATTCAAAGTGTTCCCCATTTTGCCAATGCTCTTGGGTAGGCAGCCATGGAAATGGTTATTAGCAATGACTAAAACTGAGACAGGAGAGTTCCCCAGGTTTTCAGGAATGGTGGATGTGAAGCGGTTGTTGTTCAAGAACAAAGCATCCAAATCCTTGTTAAAGAGCTCCGGAGGTAGTATTCCCTCAAAGTCATTGTACCTAAGATCAAGGTACTTGAGGTTAGGAATTGAAAGAACAACTTTTGGGAAAGGGCCCACAAACCGGTTGTTGCTCACATCAAGCTCGTGGAGAAGTGTAAGCCTAGAGAAACTCTCTGGAATGACCCCACAGAATCTGTTTGAGTTGATGTGAAACAAAGCAATTTCTGTCAACAGGCCTAACTCGACTGGAAGATACCCGGCGATGTCACCGTGGTTGATGTCAATACCGGCAACAACTTCTAGTGTTGGTTCGTCAAGAGCAGGAGCACAGAAAACTCCATTATAGGAACAAACATCAGTGCCAACCCAACCTCCTGTTATGTTAAGTGGGTCCGAGTAGATAGCTTTCTTCCACGCTTGAAGCGCAATGTATGCCCGTTTGAGCCTGGAATTCGAAAATGTCAAGTTCCCCAAATCAACTTTATATTCGTAGTCATCTGGCAAATCTCCATGCTGATGGAGAGTCAGCAGCTGGCGACGGACAATGGACGATGCCTCAGCATCGGTAAGAGCCGTGGAGAAGGAAGAAAAGAGAGAAAAACAAGATACTAGGAAGAAGAGGAAGCAGCCTGAGGCCTGCATTTTTGTGAAGCTGCCACCTTGGATGGACCCAAGGCTGCCTATAGGGGAGTCTAAGGAGGAGAATGTGAATGATGAAGGTGTTATATTGAGGAGAGAGAGAACCAAATAAGTTGGGAACTCTTAGAGGTTATGCAACATTTTCTCTACACTTCTAATCTATTACGAGGAATGGTTATTTTTTGTTCCTTAAGCCACAAACTTTTGGTTGGTTCTTCTAACTTTTCCAAACTGGTAAAGATATTTTTGTTGTTTTGGGGGGTTTTTGAAATGAAAGATCCAAGTTTAGGGCGATATTTGGGAATGGAAATGCTTGGATTTTGGTGGGGTTTGCCTAAATTTTGCATGTGGTTGGTAAATGACAGACGGGCAACGACCAGGTCTTCTCTTGTTTGTGTTTTATGATTTCGGTTATATTTCTGTTATGTTATTTCAGTTTTCTGTTAACGTTATTTCAGTGTGTTGTTATGTGTGCTGATGACAAATCATATGATAAGACACCCACAATGCCGGCTCAAGGGCAAGATATCAAGGTCCCCCTTAAATCGGCCCCTTATTATTAGGATCATTAATTAATTAGCTTTAAACTTGGAGATTCTTTTCTTAGAAATCCTTAACTAATTACTTCTACACCTCCAAATATTGAACATATTAATTAGTTTTCTTTTCTAAAAAGAAATCCTATGTCTAATGTCTCTTCTCCCTCATCCTTAAAAGGTGTTTTAAGAATAGATAATTGTCTTTGTAAGATTTGATGTTCTCAAATCTAAAATATCCGTGTGTATAGAATAACATTTGGGTTTTCTCTAATAAAATAAAAAATAACACATTTGGGTTTTCTTTGTTAGAAAAGGAACGGGGAAAAGAAAGGCAAACTATTTGTGCCGGCCATAAAAAATGAGATAAATATCCTTTAAAAATAAATAAGTTTTAGATTTTTATTTTTTATTCTTATTAATATTTTTTTAGTTAAATATATATTAGTTAAAAATATATAAATAAAAAATAAGAGATAAAAATTTAGAGTTCAACAAATTTCTCTCCCTTCTCCATTATTAAATTAATATAAGGATCAATTTCTAACAAGTTTTATTTAAATCCTTAAGAATAAGGTATCGTTCAGTTCGCCGATTCGAATTTTCAATTTGAGTTGAGATATGATTTTATATGAAAATTTTTAATTGTAATAAAAAAATTAAATATGATTTTTATATAATTTTTTAATTATAATAAAATTAAAATTAAAAACTTTAATCGATAAAATAAAAAATGTTCCGTCTAAAGTCTAAGAATAATAGTAACAGGAACAATTTCTGATTACAAACTCTTTATTTCCTTCATTCATAGTTTACAATTGAAATGACTGAAGTAACCCAATGCCCCCGGCAATTGGAATCACTATTACCAGCTCATGAAATATTTTGTGAGACTGCTCGCACATGTGCCTCACTTTTTTAGGACACTGGTTTTGTAACGTGCGGACACGTATTCTCATATTGGAAAATATCTAAAAAATTTATTGTTTATTAAATAATAAAAAATTTATTTATATAATTATTTAAAATTTTTTATATTTTTTCTAAAAAATATGTGTAAATATATCATTTGACCAAATGAAGTAAAAACACATTTAAAAAGGTAATTTAACTAATTATAAAATAAATTAAGAACACATGTTAAAAGCCTCTTATAAAAGTAAAGTGAGAAACAAATATTTTAAAAAAACATAAAATTAAAATGTAAAAAATTCAAAAAAATAAAGATAAAAAAAATAAGTGTAAGAGTTAGTCACATGGCAATTCTATAGAAAATTTTTTGTTAGATAAATCACTAAAAAAAAAACAGAGAGAAGCAAACCAATCGAGGGATAAGTCATAAGATGAAAATTATTGGAAGTACCTGAGTGTCAAAGCCCCACTGTACACGGGGAAGACTTTTTGCTGTTAATCGAGACGGTCACCGTTTTTACATTTAAAACTTTTAAAAAGGATCACCTAACACCCCCGAATTTTTTTATCACAACCTTACTACTATGGCTGGAGAAGTGATAAATTAAAGTCTTGTTTATTTTGTGAATTTAAATTTTTAATTTGAGTTGAGATGTGATTATATGTGATATTTTTTAAAAAATTTTTACTGTAAAAATCTAAAATTGAAAACTTAAATCGGTGAAATAAACGAGACCTAATTATCTATTAAATTAAATTTGTCACTTAGTCAGGAACTTATAATTACTATATAAAAAAAAACCAAGAACCAATCTTTCACTAATTGAAAAGTTTTGAGGCTATGTGTACTAATTACCCTTTTAATTATTATATGATAGGAATGTGTTTAGTTCTGTTAAAATTTAGAATTCAGAATTGGCCTCGTTTATTTTACAGATTTGAGTTTTCAATTCAAATTAAAATGTGATATTTTTTAAAAACTTTTTATTATAAAAACTTAAAACTAAAAATTTGAATAAGTGAAACGGTATAAATTGTCACTAATCCTAATGACCCGTGATAAAAGGAGCAACAACAACAACAGGAATTTCCAATTTTCCATTAGAAAAACGACAGCAAAGACCATGATGATGTTATTAGGAAAAACGACAACAACTCCTGAAAAACCAAATGAAAATGAATGAATGTCGTTAAACACATCTACCAGCTTGCTTAAAAAAAAAAAAAAAAAAAAAAAAAAAAAACAACATCGGAGAAGAGAGAAGAAAAACCTGATCCTGAAGAAGAATGGCGAGCACAGGCACGGGTGGGAGCAGCAGAGAGAACACGGCCAAAACCATGGTGACCGATCAGATCTCCCAAGCCATCCAATCCACCTCCAATCTCCTCCATCTCATGCAACAATCATCTCCTTCCCAGGTTCTCTCTCTCTCTCTCTCTCTCTCTCTAGAATTTAATTCGTTAGTAGCCGATAATTATTCTTTAGGAACTGTTCTTAAATGGGTTTAGTTTGTATGTGGTGGAAATGCCGTTTTTTCAGTTGGGTTTTTGATTGTGCTGATTGCGGGAGATTTTTTTGATGGAAACAATACATGGGTTTGACTTTTGACAGTAATTCAAAGATGGAAATGTGAAATTGACAATAATGTTACAAAGAAACAAAGTAATCATGGAGTTTTAATGTTATGTGTGAAAAAGATGCAATTTTCACAGTTTCTGTTGTCTATGGAAAAGTACTTGATAACTGTTATCTGATGTAGGAAACTGATACAGAATGTGTATATACTAGTGTTTCTTACGATGGGATGGAAAACTGAATTCATGTTAGGAAGTTTTGCGGGGTTTTTTTTTTTTTTTTTTGGTTATAGTTTAACTCCATTGAAGTTCTCATGGAGTGTCGGAAGAGAAACTGAAAGGTAAATTACTCAGTTCAGTCCGTGGATTTAGAACTAGTAGGCTTTTTCATAACTTCTCGCAAGGCTGCATAGTGTAACTAACTTCCCAGTTAAGTATTTTATGGAGCTATTTGTAAAAATGACTTAATAAGAAAACTTTGTTAGTAGAATAACTTTTCAAAAATTTTTATTTGCAAAACGACTAAAGAATGACCAAGAACAACCACTTTTTACAAAGAATGGTCAGCAAAAATGAAAAAGGAATTTTTCCAATTTTACTATGTCGGGTAGTCATTCTAACAGATTGTTATGTGTGCTTTTTCTTTCATCTTTGGCTAGATGCTTAAATTATCAAATTTCTTTATGTGAGGCCTTGAGTCATTACGCTCTTATGATGTTGATAGCTGAAACCTTATTATTTCTTGTCCCTGTCTTACTTCTAATCTTTGTATGTGAGGTAACGTGGATGTTGCTTAAATAAGTTAACAAATTTCATGATGTAGTTTTGAAAGACCATCAGACCACAGTTTTTGCATAACTAACTCTTTTAGATTTGTATATTTTATGCAGGCCCAATTGATGAAGCTTCCAAAGATCCTCTTGGCAAAATCACCTACAATTAAGAATACTGGGCAGGTATGTGTTGCACATTCACAAATATTTGAAACCTGATGTTCAGCTAAATTTGATTTGTAATCCCACTTTTCCTCTGTTTGTGAAGTTGTTAGAGCAGATGCCTCGCGTGATTTCATCCCTGGATGCACACATGGAAAGTGGTCTGCAAAGGTTGTGATTTACTTTCTCTTATCTAGCCTGCAGCTTCATACATCAATGTATTACTCAAACCATTCTAATTTGAAAGAGGAACATTACATGTTATCATGATTATAGTATCTCCAGTGCAATGTCAAATTATTGTGCCAATGCTAGGAAAATCTATCTGCTATTTTTCGTGCTAAATTTGTCATGTGCTATACCTAGTGCCAAATTTAGTACCAAGTATAGCATATGCCAAATTTTGGTATTTGATTGGTTGATTTATTCAATTTTATATTTGATTATTACAACGTTATCAGTTTCAAATTGTTTTAAAACTAACAGTTTACTTTTACAAGTTCAAAAGCTTAATACTTATGACAAAATGTGGATATAACATTGTGCATTGGACCTCAAATTGAATAACATATCAAATATTTCCATTTTCGCACTTTTTAGTGCCAATAATAGCACTGGTTTGGCATTCACATCAGAGATGATCTTATATTGATGAGTGAGCATCTTCTTGAGGATATCTCATGTGCATTTTGCTATTATCTCTGCTATGGAATTCTTTCCTTCTGGCTCTGTTGTCTTACTTGAACTACACAAACATTTGCAGTGTTCCTCATCTGCAAACTGTAATCCAATTACTCGTCAACATGGAAAGCAGCCAGCTTAGTTCCCTCGCTCAATCTCATCTGCCCGCAGAGGTTATATTCAGTCTCTTTCTGTAAGCTTTTGTTGTGAAATTGTGCAATTCCGTTTTCTTTGAAGAGTTTATACTTGTTCACATCAAAATGATGGATTTTTTCCTCACTTTGATGTGGCAGTGAGGAAAAATTTATTGTACGGGTATCGACTTGTTTATCAATCTTGTCGACACATAATTGGTTAAAAAAGAATCCTCACAAGTCAATTTCCAGATTATTTGGTATCTAAAATATGGTAAACAAATTAGTGACTTGAGCACTATTCCATCAATTTTCTCTCGAGATGTCTTCTTATTCTGACACCATATTTTTCCTCAGGAAAATGTACCGACGAATGAAACTTCTAAGCTGGAATAAGCCGTTAAGTCTCTGAAGATCTGAGTTTGATGATTCTGTGACCGCTGTCGTGAAAATGTATTCTCCATCCATAGAGAAAGATTGCAGTTTCATATGGTTGGATTTAGCTATCCCGCCGTACATAAACTGTCGAGCGCAATCCAAAATGGTATCTCATCTCACCTTTATTTTTATTTTTATTTTTTATTTTTATGGGCCAAAGAGATGAAGAAACATTTGTGAATCCATTGCATTCTATGTCCTTACTTTTGATTTTTCGGTCACCTGAAGCTTAGGATTAGATCATGGAAAGAAGAGTGTATAAAATACAAAATATTGACAAAACATGTATTGGCTCGCAGCTATTTGTGCCAAGATCAAGCTATAATAGTGTCAATACTGTCATTGCCAATGTTAATTTGGTAAGATCTATGGGTGTGGCAGTGCAACATTTTGAGCCACTTGAACTAGAATAAAAAAGTTCAAAGGAATCCGTGTTTGAAAGATATTTTCGAGGCTTGGTTCCAATGATTTGGTGCCCGTTTGGTAAACAGGTTTAAGTGCTTTGAACCACAAATTCAAATGAAACGCAGAGTTATGGCAAAATGTTTTAGGCTTGCTTCAAACTAATAATTTGATATTGATATTTTGAGTAAAAAAAAAAAAGAAAAAAAAAATTCTTAACCAAAAAGTGAATGTCGTTAATCTTGGTCACCAGAGAACGACAGTGGTTTCCATGAGAGCTAGAGTGAAAGTAGCATTAGAGCATCTTTAGTGCAATCAAAATTGTATTTAGGCAAAAAAAAATCACATAACAATATAATACTTAATGTCAAATTCGACTTAGTGCAAAATTATCTCCCCTAGTAGATTTTTGGGTAGGAATATTGGCGTGTGTAACTGCTTCAATACAAAAGGATTGAATTATCTTTATTAGAGTGAGTCGGATGAATCAGATCAGCCTTATCGTTTTTTATTTTATTATTTTATTTTATTTTATTTTTTTGAGGAAAATCCTTATCTCTATTGGCTTTATCATCTTCATACTTGGAAAGAGTTGCAAAAAGAATTTCGTGTGGCAGTTTTTGGTCATTCAATTTGTGCTTTCACATGTCAAGACAATTTGAGGTTTTTTATATTTTATTGTGGTATGCGGTCAACTTATAATAAATTCATGTAACTGTGCTTGCATGCATAGTCTAACAGTAATTCCATATGCAAGTGTACCATAAGATATAGAGTTTAAATTCCTTCCCCTAAAAGTACTCATGTAATTCTTATCTAAAAAATTAGCGCATTGCTATAATCCTCCCCGTATGATCATATTTCCACCATAACATATAGAAACAAAAAGCATAACATGACGTTCATTTAGAGTATGTTTATTTGCATAACTCAGTCATGACTTGAGTTATGTATGTGAGAGAAAAATACTGTAGTAAAAAGGTTGAATTTAAATTTTTGTGAGAGAAAACACTGTAACAATGTGACTTGAGTCAAAATGAACAAGGCCTTAATGTAACACTTATATTGAAGAGGTATAATAGTAGTATGTGATAACTAAATTTCTTGATCTTATATCTTTCCAACGTCTATGGTTTTTTAAATGTTTTGTCTCTCGTCTATTACGTTGAAGAGTCTAGCCTACGTCCCGCGCAGGAACCATCACAAGACAAAGAACCCAATCCTATTCCTTCAATCGAAAAGCTACGTTGCATTAATGTTATGATATGTTTTTCGCTTCTATATGTGTTATGTGTAAGTTGGTTCTCCTAAAATAACCGTATCAAAAACCTCAAAAGATATATAGAATTTAGTGTTAGATATCTGAAAATTTTCTTTGAACTAGAGGAATAATAATTGGTAATTACACATCTTTATGATCGTTACAATAGCATATATACATAATACATGACTAAAACTAGGAAAACAATACAAATAAAGGAAATTAGTAACTATCGTTTACAGCTCGTATTTTGCTGTACATCAATCTATAGTCAACCATTAGTTAAATATAGCAACTCCACGTATGTTAATGCCAATCATGCAATCCAGTATAATCACGGGTCAAGGTTTGCAATATACCAATCCAGTATAATCAGGGATCATGATCTGCAATAGCCTCCCTCAAGCTGGTGTGCATGACACAACATAGCTTGCACATGCAGAGAAGATACGAGGGCTTCCCTTAAGCTCTTGTTGTACTGCTTTCTACTCCTATGTCACGAAGGAGCTTTTGGAATTGAGCACTTCCGAGGGGTTTAGTGAAAATATATGCTAACTGTTGGGTAGAAGTAACATGGGCTAGATTGATTACTTTGAGCTGAACCTTTTCTCTGATGAAATGACAATCTAACTCTATATGCTTGGTTCTCTCGTGGAATACTGGGTTGGTGGCAATATGTATTGCAGACTTATTATCACATAACAAGTTGACTGGCTTAGGTACCTCAACAAAAATGTCTTTGAGCAAGTGAATAAGCCAGATGATTTCCTTGGTAGTCTTCGCCATGGCTCTATATTCCGCTTCTGCAGAGGATAACGAGACTGTCGGCTGCTTTTTGGAGCGCCACGTTAGAGGCGCCACCCCGAGAAATGTTACAAAACCGGTGACTGATCTTCGGGAGGTTGGACATGTTCCCCAGTCAGCGTCCCCATATGCCTTCAAGACTAAGCTATTGTTGGTGGGATATAAAATCCCTTGATCTGGTGCCTTGGCTAAATAGCGAACTACTCTCTTGGCCATTTCCATATGCGGCTTTCTCGGCTTTTGCATAAATTGACTTAGGAGATGGACATCATATGTGAGGTCGGGCCTAGTAAGAGTGAGGTACAATAGCCTCCCTACTAACCGACAGTAGGCCGGAGCATCCTCTAAAGGTTCACCATCTTCATTCGACAAGCCATGGTGCTGGGGAATAGGTGTTTCAACGTGCTTGGAGTCTTTCAACCCAGTTTCAGTAATAATGTCTCGAGTGTATTTCCCTTGACATGAATGAATACCCTCAGTTGTTCTCATTACTTCTAGACCAAGGAAGTAGTGAAGTGTTCCAAGGTCTTTGATTTGAAAACAACTATGAAGATATTTCTTGAATTGGTTGCTTCTTCTACTGTTATTCCCTGCAACAATGAGGTCATCAACATATACCAGAACAACCATTTTAGTGTCACCTTTGGATAAAGTGAAAAGCGAACTGTCAGAGATACTTTGAAACCATAGGCTAACAAAGCTTCAGAGAGTTTGCCAAACCATTGCCTTGAGGATTGCTTTAGTCCATACAGGGATTTGTGGAGTCTGCAAACGATTCCCTTTTCTTGCTTTGGGTAGCCTTCTCGCACCTTCATAAACACTTCTTCATCTAAATCTCCATTTAGAAATGCATTATTAACATCTAATTGGTGCAGTTCCCATTTTCTTGCAGCAGCAACTGCGAGAAGGCACTTAACTGTGGCAAATTTTGCTACTGGCGCAAATGTTTCATTGTAGTCGTGCCCTTCCACTTGACTATATCCTTTAGCGACGAGACAGGCCTTGCATCGTTCAATAGTTCCATCTGGATTGTATTTAATCTTGTAAACCCATTTTGATCCGATAGCCCTTTTTCCTTGTGGAAGATGGACTAAACTCCAAGTCCTATTATTTTGAAGTGCATGCAGCTCTGTATTCATTGCCTCCCGCCACCTTGCATCTTGTGAAGCTTCTTCAAAGCTCATGGGTTCCACAAGAGATATATCTGTGTCATGAGGAATTTGTTGTGTTGGATAAACGTGAGTATCAAGAAATTACCTCGTGTAGTAGAAGTATGGCCTGAGATAGGTGACTGACGTAAAGGGGGGGCTACCATCTTCACGTGATAAGTTCAATACATAATCCTGTAAATACTTTGGCAACTTGCGTTCTCTTGATGGGAGGTCTCGTGTCTCAATGGCTCATTCTTCAGCATGTTCTCCAATGTGGTCTTGTTGTACGACTTCGGGTTCCGCTTGCACTTGCTCATAATCAACGTGAGCATCAGTAGGCACATTTTCAATCACGTCATCTCCTTCGTTTGGATCATCATCAAGGGGGTGACTTTGTGAATTTTGAAATGACAAACTTGAAGAGTCTGGCACAATATCCTTATCTCTGACAGTTGCATCATTCCGAAATGGGAAATGTTCCTCGTAAAAAATAACATCACGAGACTCACCGATCTTATTTGTTTCAAGATCTAGAATTTTGTATCCTTTCTTCCCGGGAATATACCTAAGAAAAGCACAACGTATCGACCTTGATTCAAATTTATCAAGTGGCTTCGGCTTGTTGTAGACATAACATAGACATCCAAAGACGCGGAGATGATCATAAGATGGCTTCCTGCCGAAAAGTACTTCATAAGGGGATTTCCCTTCTAAGCTTGCTGTCGGTAGGATTTTGATAAGGTAGGCTGCGGTCATTACACACTCCCCCCAATAACGTAGGGGAATGTTGGATTGGAACCTTAGAGCCCGTGCTACTTCAAGCAAATGTCTATGTTTCCTTTCAACTACACCGTTTTGTTGCGGTGTGTGGGGGCATGCAGTCATTAGCTCGTGCTTCATTAGAGCCCGTGCTACTTCAAGCAAGTGCTCAAACATTTTTGGTGCCTCATTTTTGCTCTTCATCAAATACAACCAAGTTGCTCTTGAATAATCGTCAACAAGGATAAGAAAATAAGAATGCCCAGTATGTGTCTTGATGTTGTAGGGTCCCCATGTATCAACATGTGCTAATTCAAAAATGATTCTTGATTTATTATTACCGATGGAAAAAGAGCCTTGAATATGTTTTGCTCTATGACATACACCACATGGATTTATATCCTTATTGAATTTGAAACTAGAATGGAAAACATTTCCCAAGCTAGAAAACGACGCATGCCCTAATCTCTGATGTAGTATCTCGACTTTTTGACTGGACTTCACCGCATTAGCTCGTGCTTCATCATTGGAATTGAAATAGTAGGGCGCCCCTCTTAATCTACCTATCTCAGTCATCTTCTTGGAGGTAAGGTCCTGCACAACACAATTAGTTAAAGTGAAGGTAACTGAGCAATTATAACCCCTTGTCAATCTACTAACAGAGATTAAATTGCAATGAAATCCAGGCAAGAATAAAACCTTCTGTAGGTTTATATTATTATTTAACTCTACTGTACCAATGAATTCAACTTTTGCGTCTTTTCCATCTGGGAGTGAAACCTTTATTGGTATAGTTGGTTTTTCACAATTTTTCATCAATATTGCATATGACACAATGCGGTCAGATGCCCCACTATCAATTATCCAAGTGTTTCGAGTAGTGTTACCAATGAAGTTCACGGCAGGCTGCTTTTCCTTTGAAACAAGAGATAGAAGTTGATCAATTTGCTCTTGCGTGAGACTAGTTGTATGAGTGCCCTGTTGACTAGTCTGCACTTGAGTTGTTTCTTTCCCTTTAGCAGTGGCTGCATGTGCGGAAGGCTTATCTTTCCTTCTGCTTTGCCAATTCGCCGGGTAACCAACGATCTCGAAACAATTCTCTTTGGTGTGTCCCACCTTCTTGCAATGATCACACAGTGTGGCCTCCTATTTGGCTCTTTTCCTCTCGGTGTATCCACGCTAGCCTTGAAAGCAGCTAGCTCGCTGATGGAAGGCTTTCCTATAGTGACTTCTTCGGAAGCAAGTAGAGAATAAGCGTTTGGTAGATTCGGCAAGGGGCCCTTGCACAGCAAGTTTGACCGAACAACACCATATGCTTCATTCAAGCCCATCACGAATTGGTGTAGCTTTTCTTCTTCCTTTTCTTTCGCCGCGATGTCGCAAGTGCAACCGCTACATCCAGATTTGTGAGGCTTGGAGAATGTGCCGAGTTGTTCCCACAAGCTCTTCATCTTTGCATAGTACGTCGAGATTGTCATGTCACCTTGACGGGTGTTGGTAATCTCCACCTTGATCTTTTGAATCATCGGTCCGCTCCCTTACGAGAAGCGTTCCTCCAATTCTCTCCACATTTCTTGTGCAGTATCACGGTAGATAACGCTATCATGCAATTCTTCATTAAGGAGTTAAAGATCCAAGACATTACCATTGAGTTGCATGTTATCCAGTTTTCTTCATTAGGATCTCCTGCTTTGGGAGTCTTCCATCCACGAAAACCATCTTGTGTTTCGACACCAAGGCATTGGTCACCGCTCTCCTCCATGTTGAGTAATTCGTCCCTTTAAGTAGGTGTGTCACCAACTGATCTCCTGGTCTATCTGAATTCCCAAGGTGGTAGTGAAGTGCATTCGCAGTGGTGGTCGTCTTCTTGATCGTGGTTGTGCTTTCCTCCGGTTCACCGCTCATTTTCCTGCTCCGATACCATGAAAATTTTCTATGAACTAGAAGAATAATAATTAGTAATTACACATCTTTATGATCGTTACAATAACATATATACAGAATACATGACGAAAACTAGGAAAACAATACAAATAAAGGAAATTAGTAACCATCGTTTGCAGCTCGTATTTTGTTGTACATCAATCTATAGTCAACCATTAGTTAAATATAGCAACTCCACGTATGTTAATGCCAATCATGCAATCCAGTATAATCACGGTCAAGGTTTTCAATATACCAATCTAGTATAATCAGGGATCATGATCTGCAAATAATATCTCTTAATAAAATGTCAAATTGTTAAGCCAATGCTAAAATTTATTTTTGTGCGTAGTAACAAGGGAAGGAAATAGGAAGCAATGAAATGTGTACAGTCTAGGTGGGGAACTAAATGATGCAAAGTTATAGTTATTATTTTTTTTAATTTGGGTCTTTCTTTGTTATGACCTTTCTATTTCTATTAGTTAGTTTCCGATCGTTAGAATTGATCAAAATCACATAATATTAATTAGAAATATATGCAGAATATACAGTTTCTGATACAAATTGACGGTTAAAAATAAAGCTTTTTCAATAATTTATTTTTTCAGTGTCTAATAGAAAAATATCTTGTTTTTTCAAGTCACTTGATATATATTAGAGATTCTAAAAGAGAAAAGAAAAAAGTCCCAAGAATATAGCCTAATGGCAATCCTATTTTTCTTTAGTTTTTTTTTTTTTTCTTCTTCTTAATAAACTAGCCCAAAAAGTGTTCAAATATTTTAAAGTTATGTTTTTAGGATTAGGAATCATTATCTTGTCGATGTCATAAGAGTTCCAATCTTAATTGAAAAGTAATGCATAACGTGTATCATATCTATCACATTGTTTTGCTTTGTCGTTGTGCGAATCGTTAGCCCTTATTCACGTGTAGAACTCAACTAACTCAGGTTAAATACTTCCACCCTTGATTATCGGATTCTCGTTTTTTGTTTTCTGTTTTGTTTTGTTTTTGTTTTTCTTGGCGTTAGAATTTAGAAAACGGACTTATAGATAAATAATTACACATGTTCGCTTTGTAAGGGATATAAGCGTTAAACGTAATTAACATGTCCATACATGTTCAAAGTTCAATTAGTAAGGGATACGCACTAAACTCCATCTAATTAGCATTCCAAGTCGTTGGCATTTTCCTCTTGATTAGCATTTTTATGTTTTTAATGTTGTTTTTGGGGAGTGTTTACTACTCCAGAATTTCATGTTAGAAAAGAGAAAAAGAGTTTTCATTATGATTCTTTTGATTTGATACGATTTTTTGAGGTTATTTTTAGATCTTTAAGAAATCTATAACATGTCAGAGTATTTAGTAAACCATGTTCTTGCCGACTAAAGTTTTAAAAGCTACTATTAAACAATGAATTTATAAAATATGACATGGGTTGCTTTTATACAATTACTTTTACTGTTATTGTTTAAATTGATTAAAATAACCTCAATAATAAACCATAATTCTTAATCTAATTATTTTATTTATATCTGTAGCAAATAAAAATATATTTGAAAATCTTTGCTCAAAAGATACAAGCTTTATTACGAATTATTTAGTACATACATTGAAACAAATTTATAAAAGATATGAATTGAAATAAATAACTATTCATATTAAATAGAGAGTAAAATATTACGGAAGATCATACTATGTAGAATAGACAATAAGGACCCTTTTGTAAGATATTTGTAATGACATATAGTGGTTGTATTCAATGTATTGGTATTCATATTAAATAGAGAGTAAAATATTACGGAAGATCATACTTTTGTAAGATATTTGTAATGACATATAGTGGTTGTATTCAATGTATTGATTGTAGTGTTTATCTCTAATCTCTACTATAATAAGAGATTATGATAAAGATAGACTTCCGTTTAAAATAGAAATCCTTGAAATTTTGCGTCTTCTAATAAGCATGAAATCTATCTCAATAAATTTAAATTTTTCAGGAAGTAAATACTTTCTTGGTTTTGGAATTTAATTCCTTTAATCATAAAATATATTTCCAATTCTATGAATTCTTAACTAGAAAATAACGAATTTCACTACTAAAATGAGTTTTTTCTTTTTGAGTAAATGACTAAAGTGACTCGTCAAGACATGAAAGGCAACCCAATTCACACATTTTGGATTAGGAATCTCTCATATCATATTGTTTCCAACCATACACAAATATTCCATATATGGAAGTGAAAATATTAGATTCCAAATTAGTGACATAGGAATAAAGTCATTTTTTAAGAACAAAATCCAAGCCAACTTATCCAAAAAGAGACCACAATTTCTTCCTTCCAATAAATTCCTCCAATCCTTTTCTCCATCTTTCACATATATTATAATTATAATTTTAATAATTACAAAACATGGGAAAAGGAAGGATTAGGACTTGCCACGTGTGAATAAAGGGTGTGAAAAAGGTACTAGGAATTCCAACTCAAATCAATGTCCACATTCGTGTTCCACGCCTCACTTACTAGTAAGATTCGCGTGGGTCCCACATCTCCCAAGATAAAGGCGAAGACGCCCATCCCACTTCAACAATTGGACGGCACCGTATTCATTTTTTCTTGGTATTTAAAATTTTTAGTGATAAAAACATTTTGATACATTTGTTATAACAAAATACCTCGAAAATAGTTTTAATAATACTAAAATAATACTTTCATCTTTTAGAAAAAGTATTTTTTTAGTAGTTAAGACTTATTTTTAAGATATAAAATGTCTATTTTACCATTCTACTTATTTAATTAAAAACTACATACTTAAGGAAAAAAATAACGAAACATTTAAAAATGCATTAAATATATGTATTTTTTTTGAAATGGGTTGAAGATCTGCAAATCTTTTTTTTTATTGACTGCAATTTTGAGTCTTTTACTTGTTTAAAATGTTTTTTTTGTAAAGTTTTAAAATATTTTTTAGTTTTCAATGAAGCACGTCCAAGAATAAAATGTCTTAAAAATTGAGTTCAAGATATTAAATTTTTTTTTTTTTTTATAAAACCTGAAGTTATTATTTTATATTATTAAAAACATAAATTATCTAGAAAATATTCCACAATAACTGTAACAAAATTCATCAAAATAATTTTCCTTTTAAAACTTCTGATTATAGTCTCCTTTATTTTATTAATTAAAATCACAATTTAAATTTTTTTTACAATATATTCTCTTATAAAAACTTTAATTCTTTTTTCATTATTTTTTTCGCATAAATTCACCTCTATCAACCTAAACTAACAAAACTAAGAAGACCATATATATATATATATATATATATATATAAAAAAAAAAACACTAAAAATATATATTTATATATATATATATATATTTTTTTTTTTTTTTGTTGAGAATATATAAATAGAGTTCCCGGGTCAAAAAAGTAGGGATACAAAAAACCGGAAATTTCGAACGTCGTGGAAAAACTGAGAGACTCCCCCGCCATTGATAAATAAAAGAGAGCTGCTTCGCATTCTCTCTCTACTCTCTTTCTCTCTGCAAAACTTGGGCCCAAAACCCTAGGCATGGCTGCGTCGCTGGTTATGCCCTCTCCTCCGGCGTCATCATCGGCGGCGGCGGTGGCGGCGGCATCATCGCCGTCTTCGTCGTTGTCTCTTCCATCTCCATCGCGTTTCTCTCTCTGCCGCAGAACTCTGTTCCACACCACCGACTCTCGCCCTCGCACTTATGCGAAAAACGGCGTCGTAAGAACCCTCGAACCCTCACGCATTTCTGCGCTTCGTCCTTGTTCTTCTCTTTGCTTTTCAAATTTTCTTTTTAATATTTTTCCCTTGGGATTTAGCACCGAAAACGAGCTAAAAATAATTACTTTAGGGTTTTTTTCCCGGCATTTTGTTTTTTTATCCATCAAACAAGGTTAAAGCATATACATATGCATATATATGTATCCGTATGTATATATGTGTACATATATATATATATATGTGCTGTATTGAGATTGTTTTGTTTGTGGGAAATTATGTTAGAGGTGTGATATATCAGAATCAACCAAATATGGGAATGGGAAGCCGACAATTCCTATCCTTAACGAAAGGACACTTCCCAAGTTCTTGGAATCAGCTCGGGTGGAAAAAGCAACGAACAGAAACAACAACGCCAAGATTAAATTATTTTCAGGCACAGCTAATCCTGCTCTCACGCAGGTAATTAAAAGGATTAACTATATTTATTGGCTACGTGACTCTTGCTAGGACTGAGATAATTATGTTAACGATTATTGATTATACAAGCTTCCAGCTGAGATAATTATGTTGATTATTAAGAATTACTTTTTCTCTTTCAAGTTTTTAAACTTTCCATGGTGATGGTTCAGTAACTTCAGTTCTTTTGTTGAAGAATAGTTTCTTGTTCATGATGTTTCGTTATGCTTCTTTTTGAAAATGATTAGATTTTTTTATGTGATTTTAGATCTTTATCTGGTGGCAAAGACTGATCCTTATATTAAATGTTTCTGAATGAGTTTTCTTAGTTTGATGAGTTATCTATAGTAAAAGTTCAAGTGAAAATTAAATCTGAGAAGTGAGAACCATTTTTGCACTAGTAATTTAACATCGAAAGTGCATCCTTCTTTTCAAGTTTTGAGCAACTGAATTTTGCTCCTTTGGTTTTGATAAGAGTAATAGTAATAAAGCTTGTTAGTTTAGACCCTTTTTTTCTTTTGGCGATTGTCTTTTACTCCCGAACACGTATTATTCATCTAAAGTCTTAAGTATATGTTCTTAAGAACAGATAATCTCTTCAAACTCTTAAATCCTTGTGCAGGTATGTACTAACATTCAGCTATTTTACCCTAGGAAATTGCTTGGTACATGGGCTTGGAACTTGGAAAGATCAACATAAAGCGATTTGCTGATGGTGAGATTTATGTTCAGTTGCAAGAGAGTGTGAGAGGATGCGATGTCTTCCTAGTACAGCCAACCTCTCCTCCTGTGAATGAGAATCTCATGGAACTAGAAATAATGATTGATGCTTGTCGGAGGGCATCAGCGAAAAATATTACTGCTGTGATTCCATATTTTGGATATGCCCGAGCCGATAGAAAGGTAAATTTTATGTGTTCTATTCTTGTGAACATGTTCAGGATAAAATACTTTGTAAAATTAAGATATCAAATCGAATTAAGGAGCGTTGTTTCGATCATTTGATTTTGTTGTCTGAAAAAAAAAAACTCATGAATTTCCGGACCAGTCAGATAGTCATATATGTTCTCATGGTATATTGCATTGTTAATTGGCTTTAATTTAGGGCAATGTTATTGCTGAGGCATCGGAGTTGTGTAAGTTTCATGAAAGTAAAATTCCCAGTTTAACTTAAACTATTATCTACTTTTTACATCTTACAAGTTAAAATTTACTCAGGGTAAATGTCTTGACTTTTTTTTTTTTTGACAGATATCATTTTCCTTTCATTCATTGAAGTTATTCACAAATTGGCTCACCGAATGTTTGATCTGTCTTTGCATTTTGAGCATTCAAAGTATGTTCTGAGAATAAGAATTCTCTACGAAACTTGAATTCTTTTTTTTTACTCTTTCCCAGACCCAAGGGCGCGAATCAATTGCAGCCAAACTGGTTTCGAACCTCATTACAGAAGCAGGTGCAAATCGTGTTCTTGCTTGTGACATTCATTCTGGGCAGTCATTAGGTTATTTTGATATCCCAGTGGATCATGTGTATTGTGAGGTAATAACATGTTTGTGGTTTTCTGTTCTTGATTTTCATTGGTGTCATTTATGTCCACTGATGTTTACGTTGTTCTGTCTGTTCTAGCAAGTGATCCTTGATTATCTTGCCAGCAAGAAACTTTGCTATGAAGATTTGGTAGTTGTCTCCCCTGATGTTGGTGGAGTCGCAAGAGCACGTGCTTTTGCAAAAAAATTATCTGATGCACCTTTAGCCATTGTAGACAAAAGGCGTCATGGACACAATGTTGCTGAGGTAATTTCTGTACCGAAACTTTACTATTAACCTCGTCTTTTTTTTTTTTTAAAGGGGGCCTTCCAAGCCTACTTACATTGAGTAACACATATTCTTGCTTGATGGCAGCTACCAGAACTTAAAAAAGTTTTAAAAAAAGTAGTTGGTAGAAAATCTTCAATTTCATGGAAAAAAACATGAATCCTTAGTTTCTGGTAGTCTATAAAAAAAACTACAGTTTTTCACAACCTAGAATCCATGTCACTTCATCTCTTCAGGTGATGAACCTGATTGGCGATGTGAAAGGCAAAGTTGCAGTTATGGTGGATGACATGATTGATACTGCTGGTAAGTGAAGCTTTTCTTGACTCCAGACGTACATTTTTATTCATGATACATATTGAAAGCATTCTTTCCACACAGGGAAAATTGACATGAAATAACAAAAAGTAACCAAAACTGAACTTCTGTTTACTGTTTAGTATATGTTGTTTAATAGCTCAAGGTTTTTGGTCGGTGGTTTGTAAATATTATCATTGTTTCCCCATTATGCGCTTCCAATTATGTTCTTTCACATCTTCTTTGGTGAGATTTCAGTGACACAACCTATAATATATATGCTATGCTGTTAAGATCCAGTACCTGCTAAAAATCTATTGTGGTCTCTTTTTTGGACCACTCCTTGGTGTGGTTTTGCTTATTTAACTCCAATTTGGAAAAATATTTCATTCGGTGAAATATTGAGTGGTTTTTCATTTTCATGCTTATAATGAGAACACATTTGATATAATTAATTTCCTGAATGTTGCTTGCTTATGATTGTAGGGACAATTGCAAAGGGTGCAGAACTTCTACACCAAGAAGGGGCAAGGGAAGTGTATGCATGCTGTACCCATCCAGTGTTGAGGTATTCGCTATGTTTTTGTAGCGTGTTCTCCAGATTTTTTTTTTAAATTTTTTTTATGAGACAGTCACATGCCATGTTTGCCGAAAATCCCGCGATCTTTCTAGTGGGATTCTAACTCAGAATATCTGGATTTACAACTCATCCCGAGTGAGTTTATTGTTTTCCTTGATGGTTCCTTAAACTTCTTTGTGGCAGCCCTCCGGCGATTGAGAGGCTTTCGAGTGGCCTGTTTCAGGAAGTGATTGTAACCAACACCATTCCCGTTATGGAGAAGAACTACTTTCCTCAGTTAACGGTTCTTACAGTAGCTAACTTGTTGGGTGAAACGATTTGGCGTGTTCATGATGATTGTTCTGTGAGTAGCATTTTTCAGTGACACAAGGAAAAGATGGACAATATTGTCAACGTCTCCTTTTTAATGTATCCCCCAGTTTTCTTTTGCTTTGTTCCCTTGTTTTCTTCTTTCCTAACCCCATTTTCTTTAGCTCGTATTTTTCTTTCTTTTTTTTTTTCCCTTTTTTTTTTCAAAAAAAAAAAATATTTTAGCCGCAATAGGTTGACAAATTTTGCTTCCATCTTTAATCAGTTTCGTAGTAGAAAATTTGCTTCATCTTTAGCCAGCTTGGCAGTGTCTACGTCATCTGGATAGAAGTATAGCGGATCCAAAACTTTAAATGAATGAATGTGTTGTACGTACTATGTAATTTTATCTATGAGAAATGCTGGCAACACTTGGCATTTCTCTCTATCTATTTGTCAAATGAAGCTGATATAAGGTTCACCATACTCCTCCGTAATTTTATCTATGAGAAATGCTAGCAACACTTGGCATTTCTTTCTCTATCTATTTGTCAAATGAAGCTGATATAAGGTTCACCATACTCCTCTATTCTCTGGTCACTGGAAAGTTCCAGCTTGTGAAGTGTTGGTGCACAAGGCTAATTGTAGCTGTAAAATCCAAAATTGACTTGATTATTTTCCTTGAAATATTAAAAAAAAAATTGAAATTAATTTTTCTCAAAAAGAAAAAGAAAAAACTGATATTGATTAAAAGTAATGAGGATTTATATAAGTGGTTGGAGACGTAACCTAACGGTAATTTTATAGTTAATTCTCACATAAGGTGTAAAGTTCGAATTCTTCACCTCTAGATTTAGGATTTGTATAAGAGTGGTGGTAATAAGATTTTTGGCATCAATTGAAACCCGGGACTCAAAAAAAAAAAAAAAAAAAAAAAAAAAAAAAAAAAAAAAAAAACTAAACTGAACACTTCCAGTTTTGTATAAGAGTGGTGGTAACAAGATTTTTGGCATCAATTGAAATTCGCACACAAAAAAAAAAAAAAAAAAAAATTGAAACGTGCAACTGAATAATAACATAATAAGACCATCTCTAATACATTTACCAATGCTAATGATAAATTTGCCACAAAAAATGGTCAAAATGGTATATTTGGCATTGGCATTTTATGCGACAATGCACTACTGCCGTTTTAAATGCTATAACACAATTTTATTATTCTTTTTGTACAAAAATTAATAAATATATTTTAGGTCCCGTTCATTTCATCAATTTGAATTTATAATTCGAATTTTGTTACAGTAAAAAGTTTTCATAAATAATCACATCTAATTTTTTTTACTACAGTAAAAAGCTCTTACATAAAGTCACATATCAACTCGAATTAAAAACTCAAATCGACGAACTAAACGGGCCATTTATGGTCAGAAAAGATGTGACTGTTAATTCAAATTAAGATGTGATTTTATATGAAAATTTTTTACTGTAATTAAAAAATTAAATGTGATTATTTTTAATAATTTTTTATTGTAATAAAACTCAAATTTTAAACTCAAAAGGCATCTAAATTTTTTTCTTCCTTTTCGTTAACAGAGGAGAGTAAAATAAGTAGAGTATGAATAGTAGTCTGCGAACAGCAATAATTGCTTTTGACAAATCGAGAACTTTACAGAGTTTAATAGTAAAATTTAGAGTTCGTTTAGTTGGAGGATTCAAATCATGTGATTCGAATTATTTTTTATTTATGTGTATTTTTTGTGAGAGAAAATACTGTAGCGAACCACGAATCATGATTCGAATCAGGGAACGAATCCCTCTACCAAACGCCCTCTTAGAATTTGAGTTTTGTTACAATAAAATTTTTTTAAAAATAATTATATTTAATTTTTTTTGTTACAGTAAAAAGTCATTACATAAAGTCATGTCTTAACTTGAATTAAAAATTTAAATCAGGGAATTAAACAGACCTTTAATTAAACTTTGAAAGTTGAACAGTAAAAGGTGATATACCCACTAAATACAGTATATGATAAATTTACCACAGTAAAAGATACTGTATTAGAGAATGTTTTCCCATTTAAAATTAAATTTTTTATTGACACACTAATTATAACACTCTATTATAGTAAATGACACTGTATTAGAGAATTTTTTTCCATTCAAAATTAAATTTTTTATTGGCACACTAATTATAACACTTTATTAGAGATGCGCTAACATGTTATATATTACACGCTCCGTTGCTCTGCTTGGTTATATAATTATACTAGTGCATAAGAATTGCAGTAAAAAAAGAGATCCTCATCGAATATGAATTTACGATGAAAAAATCTTACTACATACTCTATTTGCTGTGAAGTAGACATATCTCCCAAGAAATCAATCCAGCCATTGAAATGTGGGAAACGTATGAAAGCCCATTTTAAAACAACTACTAAAAATTACTATGTTTTGAAATAATTTTAGAAATAACAAATTATACAAATTATTATAATAATTTAATCGACTTGTGGAATTTACGTTGTAATTATTATAATGTTTTCAATTTTAAATATTTGTAAACTTTATCTTAATGAAGGGACATCAATAAGGAGACAAATACTCATTCAAATGTATGAGTTTAGATTTTTACTCTTTACATTTAATCAATATTTTTTTAATCAAATAAATATATTAGTCAAAATGGTATTAATTAAGAGTAAGGGATAAAAATTTAGATCCATGCACTTTAAGAGTAAGTTCAACAATTTTTTCATTCCATTACGTAGGGGATAAAAAAATAATAATATCCATAAATTGTGACATTTGCATTTTACACATAAGTTCGTAAAATAACCCATAATAACCCATAATAGCATTTTTACTATATGTTAATCACAATTTTTTTTAATTATATAAATGTATAGCCACCCACAAAAAAAAAACATCTAAAATAATATTATATAAATAACCATAAAATGAACATTGAAAATATTATTAAAGTAAAAACATACTTTAAACAAGGATTTTAAAATTGATCATTTTCTGTAATTGTTTCTTAAAATTTTATGTTATGAGTTGGTAGGTCGAACGAATATAGGAAAAAAAAAGACATGTATATTTTTAAATTGTACGAGTCTTAATTTTTACCTTTTACTTTTGATTAATAATTTCTTAATCAAATACTATATCACTGAAAGAGCATTAATCAAGAACAAGAGATAAATAGTAATGATAGAGACATCTACTCAAATCTTAACTTTTTGTGTATCAATTGATGTGACATTTGAATTGTTATCTTTTCATTAATAGATATAATCTCTTTATTATTAATTTATAACAATATTTTAAACACTTATTAATATAAAAAATGATAACTCACATGTCATATTAATTAATACACAAAAATTAAAATTTAAGTTGGTATTTATAACCTTATTTAGGTAAAAATGCACTTTAGGGTTAGTTTTTCTCACGAATATAAGCCCAACCCATTATCTATCCTTTTTTTTATTTTTTTTTAAATCATTATTTGGGAGAAATTTTTCTTCAGCACGAGGATTTTTAGGGTTTTGTACAGAAACATTCTACTATAAATATCCCCTTTCTCTTCGAGTCTCTCAGGCTGCATCAATCCTCTCTGAAAAACCCTAGATTCAACTTAGCCTCATTTTTTCTAACCCCAATTTTATCTCTCTGTTTTATCGTTGTTGTTTTCCTTTGGATTTTCGATTTCATTACTCTTTTTCGAATTTTCAATTCAACAAATAACGCTATGATGAATACCTTTTCTGTGTTCCTGAGGCTGTCCGTGCCTTTGACGGCTACACAAATCCTCTAAGAAGTTCTGAGCTTGATTTTTTTTTTTCTAGTTTTTTTTTTTTTTTTTTTTTTTTTTTTAAAATTTTTTTT